TAAGTGTTCCATGCATACAAACAAGATGAGTACAAGTTAACAAAACATCTGTAGACTCCCTTGAGAAGCCTCCTGTCCAGAACACCGTAACATCTTACTGCGGTGCCGCCGAGCCCCTCCGCGCCGCTGCTTCCTCGTCCATGGCCTCTGTTGCCAGCGTCGCTGCTACACAGTCTCGTGCCGTTGCCAGTGCTACGAGCGCCATGACCAGTGCTACTGGTACCGGCTCCGAGTCTGAGGCTAGCTCAACTCCCACCAGCTTCGCTGGTGCGGGTAGCAGCTTCGGTGTACCTGCTGGTGCCGCCATTGTTGCCATGTTTGCTGGTCTGTTGTAGATGGGGTAGTACAATTGCTGGTGGTCGAGCGGGTAGTTGGATGAATAGGATAATATTTAATCAGTGATACGATGGCTTTCCTGGGTTGACTGACATGCCTGCCTTTTGCAACTAGTTATGTGTGTTGCCAATACTTGTGAATGCCGCCGTTCCTACAACAAGAATGTAAACATTAATAAGCAAAACAGTTCCACGTCTGCAAAGGCGCACACACGGCAGCCATGACATGCTCATAGGCAACACAATTGGCCATGTCACGTAGGCTCCGTCCAGGTCTCATCATCCTTCATTGTTACAGCGCTCATATAAGAAAAGCGCTATACTACTTCCATTCCGATCAACCCCCAAAACGCCGCTGAGTACGTGCACATGTGCAAGCAATGCAATATATCCCACGCAATACACTGAAGATGAGCCAGGTCAGACACAAGTCCAGAAAGTCAAGTGTCATACACGATCCCAAGGAGCGCGTTCTCGCCATATACTAATGCTCCACCTTCCCTTCGCAGATTTTGTACAATGACATCAACGCCATGTAGTAGTAGTAGTCTTCCGCACTTCCTTGGCCACAGCTGTAGTCCACACGCATGGCTCCTACCGGATGGCGAGAGGCTTATTCTTGTCCGAAACCAACTGTCTCTTCAACGGCAATGGTGAGTTTCTGGTTGAGTGCTTCGAATGTCTTGTAAGGTGGTAAATCGAGACGATTGAAACTGCACATCTTGTTAGCAGCTGGCCCATACGCTGGATGTTTGGGTCTCATACCATGTGTGTGATTTCGGCAATTGATTGGGCTCACCAGCCTTTTCAATTGTGAATCTTCTTGGTCCATCACTACCCTGCAAATCCTTGAATCCGTTGACAGGAATACGTGATGTTCCGGTAGCGAATTGTAGGAGACGCGACTTTTGCTCGGCGTCCCAGCTGCGAATGCATTTCCAGAAGTTCTGAATCACCTCATCGTTCTCGGTGTAGCCACGGTAATCCGTGTGCTTCTTCCAGTCGTCAACGTCGATATCTGCAATACCACCGATGAGCAACTCGAGCTCACGTTCGTCAAAAACGTTTACGAGATCCGCAGGAATTAGTTCATGGAAACCAGTGATGAAAGCCTGGAATTGCTCTTCGACACGTTTCTGAATACGCCATTCGGTAATGAGTCTGATCAGTTAGCATAATTGGGACAGACTAAGACTGGATCCACGTACTCAACGTATTCGTGCTTGTTCTCGTTGGTAACCTCGATATTGTCACCTCCAGGCTTCAACTCAATGCTGACGGTTTCACCGAAGCGCTCGTCATCAGTAGCAAAGGTCAACTCTAGAGCATCCGTGATATCGTTGTTCCTGCGTTTGTTAGCTTGTATGCGCCCGAAAAATGAAGTTTGAACCTACAGCATCCATTCCAGGTTACGATGGAAATCAGCATCTACACCTTCCATGTCTTGGAGAGCAACCTTCTTCCTCAAGATCATTTTGTAAAACGCTCCGATAAAGAAGGCATCCAAGAAACGGCGATGGAAAATGGCCAGACCAACAACGCGTCCAATGAACTTGAAGTAGTTCAAATGTTCGGGGTTAATGCCGGAGTGAGGGTTAATCTGAAGAGTGTAGTTGTCGTGCGCAGAATATTCGAACAAGCAGTAGAAGGGGTTGAACATCTCGTGAGATAGCAGGAAGAAGAATTCTCGGGAGAGACCTCCATAATCCAGACCGTCTTCGCCATCGAATTTGATCATTAGTCGCTTCTTGAGATCAGCAGCGCTTTGGCGCATGATCTCGTGGTATGAATCCTCGAAGATGTGCGTTCGTCGCACCTTGACATGGCATTGACCACTAACAATGCGCAGTGCAGGTTGTGATCTGAAGTAGATCAGCTTGCGACGGAAGTCGCGCTTGTACTGAGGTACGTTCTGGTCCAACGAGGACGGTAATCTCGGGTCGTCCCAGGTAGTTGTCTTCGTATTGTGATCCACAAAGTATACTCTGGCTGTGTTGGTGAGGCGCATTTCCCACCCTGATGGCAATGGCCCGAGTTGGGAGACGGGCTGCTGCTGAATGGTGCTTCCGTTGGCGGCCTGACCACCATACATGCGGATGTATTGCTGTCGGCGAGGGTCTACCCATGTTGTCGTTCGCGTGTTGTGATCAACAAAGTATGGTCGACCTTCGGGTGTATGCCGCTGTTCCCAACCAGACGGAAGCTCTCCTGTTCCAGCAGTAGTCGCTCCTGTTGCCATCATGCTTGCAGCATTGGCCGAACCAGCAGGCGGTGATGGCTGACGATCGGTGAGAGTGGGCGAGTTGGCTCCGGTCCTATCTTCAGGCAGCATGCGGTTCTGATGTCGCATGCGCTCCTGCTGGGTCTGCGCAGCTACATCCCGGCGCTGATCAGCCTCGTTGAATCCTGCGCCCGGCCTGATCCAAGTGGTTTGTCTAGTGTTGTGGTCGACGTAGTAGGTTCGGCCCAGATGATCCTCGCGACGCTCCCAGCCATTTGGCAATCTTCCTTGAGCATCCTCGAAAGCGCTGTATGCACCGCCGCTGTTGCGAGCTGGAGTCGCTCCATTTGGCGCGGGGCCTGGACCAGCGGGCGGGCCAGTTGGTGGGCCAGCTGGAGGGGCTTGACTGAGACGCTGGGCAGCTGGTTGGCCGGCGACTGAGGGTCGTTGCTGACCGGGGTATACGTCGGGAGGATGAAGGTTCGTCGTCGACTGTTGTGGAGTTGAAACAGCACCAGGGACAGCACCGTTGACGGACGGGTGCGGGGATGCGGTCGGTCGGGTGGCGTTCTGAGCTCCCTGGGTAATGGGCGCGGTGAGGTTAGTGGAGAGGTTGAGGATGAGCTTGCCATGGACGACCATGTTGTCGTTTGACTTTTTGAGGTCGCGCGTGAGCATCTCTGAGGGGCTGTTAGCAGATGATGTAGACTGGCATGCATCAGGCCTACCATCCCCGCCGGCATCGAGGTCTATTACCGACCCTATGCGGACATTGATGACGCCCAGGAAGCCCTGGTCCTTCTTCTTGAACTTCTTCTGGTCAAAGATCTGAACCGCCAAAACGCTCTCCTCGTTCACTTTCCTGTGTCGAGTGTTAGCGTCATGATGCGAAGGCATGCGAGGCCAAGGCCCAGGGCAGCGTACATGTCGAAGCTCTCGTTCCAGTAGGGGTTCAGCGTCTTCTTGATGACGCTGGTGGTGCGCGTCTGCTCGCCATTGATTGTGGCTACAGCGAAAGGGTCCGGAAATCCTGCAGCACATGCATGAGCGACATGACGATGCCGGGCTGGGTCAGGGCATACGTACGGAACACATCGCGCTTGTAGAGCCCATCGGCGGCGATGACTGCGGCGTGTTAGTTTGGTCGTGGGGCTCGCAGGACTCGGTGGCGGCGGGTGAGACATACTGGTGATGCGCAGGTTGGGCTGGCCAGCGCCGTCCATGATGCGCGGTTATGCAGCGCAACAAGCGGTCGCGGGTGTGGGATGGAGCGGGGACGGGCGACAGAGGTAGAGGGGCGGCTCTCAGAGCTCGCGGTGGTTAGGGGCCTCTTCTCTGGTGCTGGGTTTGGGTGGTGATGTATGGCGTCTCTGGGTTGGCTACGGCGGAGCGACGAGGGTACAGTACAGGTACTGGAGGAGGCTGTGCGAAAGGCGACCGTGCGCAGTCTACTACAAAGGCAAATGCGGCGGGCCTTCACGGCGCTGCCCGACGAGTCTCCGGCCTACGATGGTAATCGCTTATACAATCCTTTGCAATCGCTGACACCCCAAGTCACCCACAAAGTCTTTCCACTCCAGCCCTGGCGGCTAGGGCGTTGAGCGCTGCGGCGTGAACGATGCGATTCCGGGAGGATGCCTTCTGCTGCCTTGGCGCTTGCCCCGCAGGTTGTGTCGGGGGGCGATGCGAACTGCTACTGCTGCTGCTGCTGCTGCTGCTGACTGGCGCCTGACCAGAGTCTCGATATATGTGGCCGTTGAGGGTAACCTTGGAATGCTTTGGAGAGGAGCAACAAGACACCTGGTGCACAGTCTGCTTCCGATGGGCGTACCCGTGCATGTCAAGATTGCCTTTGCTCTCGCGACGCATGGCATCGATGATGTCAAACCGCTCTACCTCCCTGTCACCGCCCACTAGCATGTCCAAGAACCAAAATAACAACATATCTCTCGACCACATCTCTGCTGCTGCTTCGTATGCTGCTTGGGCCGTCTCTGATGCCATCTGCCTCTTCTTGGTGCCTCTCACTACATGTTTCCATCTTCTGGGCGCTCTTTGGCGCCCAGAAGCTGCTGTCCATCAGACGACCACGCCTCAAACACATTGCAAACCATCTGTCAAACACCAAGACGAATGGCAGTCTTGGACACGAGCCACATGCAAGGCCGCACATTCTTGGGTAAACGGCACCGCCACACGTACATCCTGTAGGAACCAACACGTCTAGGCCCGACTACGTTCCGCCCGTTCCGTCTTGCCGTATCCATCTTCAGCCAGAGTGGGGTTCACTGCGACATATACACGCGTGCACCTCAAGATGAGTATCAGGTTTCGATATCATAACTCTAACTGCGCCTGTGACTTTCCAGCTATGTCACCAGCTTCTAATGCAAATCATGTCAAGTCTAATGTTGATAGTCGCCAAACTCCACGCTCGTCATACCCTACTCCCTAAAGCTATCCCCAATCTCAATCTTCCTCATACCCAACAGCGCTCTTAGCTTCAGGTACGTCTCGTACCCACTCAACTGCATCTCAACTCTCATGTGCCTTGTCCACGCACCCAGCCAACTCAGAAAGTTACTGGGCCAAAGTATACTGCCGTTGAGGTTGTCTAAACTCTCTTCGTACACCGTGCGACTGGCATACCGAGCGAGGATAAGAAAAGTGCGCATAGGACCTTGGCGAGTATGCAGACCTTCATCCAAGGACCGCGCTACAAGAAAGGTCAATATAGATGCTCAGGTGATGGGAGGGACCAAGACTTACTCAAATCATTAGTTTTCAAAATCAACAAAATCACTCTCGGAACCTGTCCAAGCAGCTCGATCAAACTCTCCAACAACCCCTCTCCCAACGCATCTCCAATAACTTTCTTCTCTTCACTCGTCCTGCTCGTCATTACACCACCAGTGCCACTCTCCTTCTTTGCCAACACGGTATAATCTCTGCCTGTAATGGCCGAAGCAAAGAGAGGGAAGTGTTCTTCCTTGATCCCTGCCACCTGGTAAGCGTATTTGCGCATACCAGCTTCGTCGGCGTCCAATACGGCGAGCCAGAGTTTTGCGTAGTTGCGTCGCAAGGGCATAGGGATATCACGATAGAGGCCGTGATCGTATAGCACCACGTCAAAGTTGGTCTTGCCTGAACGAGTCGGGTTGTGCCGTATAGCAATGTTTCCACCATGCGGATCGCAATGGAGTGGCGCATCTCTGCCAAAGATCATCTCGTTGAATATCCTAGCCAGTGCTGCCGATACTTCGTCTCTGTCAATGCCATGTTCATCCAAACTCTTGAGGTCGTCCGTTCGAAACCCTGATACGTATTCCATAACGAGTAACCGGCGCTTTGCCCAAAGGACTTTGGGTATGACGACGGGTACATCGCGGACGTGAGAGAAGTATTCTCGCGCACGCATGGCATTCTTGCCTTCGAGGGCGAAATCGAGTTCTTGTGGCAAGGAAAGCTGCATTTCGTCGGATAACCAGGTCAGATCGTATTCGGGGAACCAGCGCTTGAGCGTCGTAAACGAGAAGCTTGTCAAAGCCAAATCAAGTTTGGCCCACTCGTCCAGGGCCGGATGTTGCACTTTGACGGCGACTTTCTGACCCGTCTCACGAACCGTTGCACGGTGTACCTGGGCGAGGGAGGCTGCGCCTATGGGCTGTTCCTCAAATTCCGAGAAGAAGTCGGAGAGCTCAAGGCCCGTGTCTCGTCGGCACATGTCTTGTATGGATTCGAAGGAGGATACGGGACATTTGTCTTGCAGTGGTATGAAGGTATCGCACCATTCGTTCGGCAGCAGGTAGTTCATGCTGCTCAGATGTTGTCCCAGCTTGATGAAGATGGAGCCGTTCTTCTCGAGTGTGTGTAGGGTACGCTTGGCGCATCGTAGGTGGCAGGCTTTGAGTTGCTCGTTGTAGTCTGGTTCGTCGTCACGCTTGAGTACGTCGCGGTAACTGCACAAAGGTGTATATTAGCCATGGATTGTTTGGTTGTGCTGGACTATGCACGCATGCACATACTCTCTGATGTTGAGCACCAGCGTTGCAACCACTCTGTAGCTTCGCTGCGCTGCCACGTAAGCATGCTTCGCGTCGTCATTGACTGTAACGACTGCTGCGCCAATTGCAATTCCACCTCCAGCTATCAGCAGCCTCGTCCTCCTCTTGCTGCTCTTGGAGCTCCTCCCTGCAGCTTTGGGTGTGGCATTGGCCGCCTCATTTGCTTGGCTTGCAAATGTCCTCGACGACCCTATTCTGCTTGCGAAGGCATTGTGCCCCGCCGAGGTGCTTCGTTGTTGCCACAAGCCATATGGCTGCGGTATCGTCTGTCGCTGCGATCGTATACAAGCTCGGCAGATCCACGTCCTTCGGAGGAGCGGAGAAGAAAGGGCGCTCAGGGTCGACATTATGTTTATACCATGGCCGGCAGAGTCCAATCACTGCAGAGTCTATGGGCCTGAGAGAGGAAGATGCGAAAGCGAGCGACAAGCGGCAACAGACCGCTTCTAGCCACAAATGTCGTCGTTCGACATTTTTCGATGAAGGCGCAGCGCGAATCGGATCCCGGACACCACACCCCTGTCGGTTTGCGGCGAGCATCGACACTGCCGAATTGGCACCACATGCCCATGCACATTACCCAAATCCCATGTTTACGGGTGCAAATGTTCCTACTCATGTATTGAATTTGACCAACATTCCAGACGCGTATAAGACGAATCAATCATCTGAAGTCAGGGAAAGCTGCATGCAATAAGAGACTCCGTCTAGCAGCTATCAGTCTGCAGCAAAAGGCACCTGTCCGCCTCTCTTCCAGTGGTATAATCATTCCTCCGCAGGATATTCAGTCTAATACGCAACGCCATAACCGCATTACTGCCTGATCTCGCACCTATGCATAACGTGTATTCTACATATCGACAGTCTCGTTGAAACAAAGTACACCATTGCCCTTCAGGTATCCATCGACTCCGTCTGGTGTGTTTTGTCGGCGGGGATTTGCAACGTGGAGGTTTGCAGGCTGGGCGGGTTCATTTTCTGGAGAGTCGGTAATGTCTGTGACGAGGACAAGGCCGGCCGTCTTGATCGATTCAATGAGAGCGGGAGCGAGCGACTAGGATCTGTTAGAGAGAAGTTGTATGGTAATTTGTAGGATACTCACCAATAGACGCGAGCTACATATCAGGCCCATGAAGTTGTTGTCCCTAGCAATCTGTACAGCTTCCTTGACAGACGTCGTTGTGCGACCGCTGCTTTGAATGATGTGTGTATTTCCAGAGGGCGACTGAGGGCTATCCGCACCGAGCTCGTTGCAGAGCAGAACTGGGTCTGTTTCAGAGTTAGCATCTTTTGCGTATCCTCCCATAAGTGTCATGCTCACAATTCGGCTGCTTCCAGTTTATGACCGTGCATATGTCCTGGTTGAAAGAGCTGAATAACACACTCCTCAGAGTACCATCTATCTCACCAGCACCTTGTTCCCTCAGTTTGCGTGCATGTTCAAAGACTACCGAGAGGATTTTATCTGCGAAGGCATTCATGTCATGTGTGGGGCCAAGCTTCAGACGTTCCTCTTCAAGTCGGGACGGGAAGAGAACATGCAGCTCGACATGGATGTGAGCCGGCAGTGCTGATAAGGCATCCTTCAACGTAATGAACGACGAAGCCATGATTTGGTAAATGTTCGGTATGTTTATCGAGCCAGTGTTGTTAAGTTCCGCAGCAAGCTGATTCGCAGCCGCGGTCGTGTCCTGAACACCGATCGCTGCGAATTGCGCATACGTAAGTATGTTGACTGGCACTTCCAATCCGTGGTGGTTGACCTTCCATCTCGGATACAGCACTGGTATACCATCGGCAGTCAGCTGGACGAACAGACGCACATATTCGCCAGATAGGCTGGAGCCGGTAATGAGTGTATGGGGCTGTGAGTCGAGCTGACTAGTGGCCTTCCAGTAGGTCGCAAAGTGGGTGATCTCGAGCGGAATGCCATGGAAAGGCTTCACTACTTGAAAGTCGAAAGTAACTCTGCCGATCGCCCGCAGTCTTGGGTCAAACAACTCGAGGTGCCATCGTCCAGAGCTCTTCGAGCGCTCTGTAAATACTTTTGAAGAGGCGACGCTGCGAGCGATGACCTTGGATCCTATTGTGGGGTATATGTCGAAGTCGATGGAGAAAGTATCTAGGTTCTCGATCTGGAAAGAGATAACCTTGAACTCGTCTTGTATGGGTAGCAGAATGTTGCGTGGTATGAGATCGGAGCTTTTTGAAGAGATTGTAAGCCTTGCCGCGGGATATTTCGATTCGTCATAGAAGCGAATCGCCTCTTTGCCCACCTTTTCGAAGCTGATCACTACGAATGTCTTTGTATCGAGGAAGTTATGTCCATATCTTCGGAATGGTATAATTGGCGGCGGCAGAATGAACTCGGGTATGCCATCGGGGTCGCCTTCGATGTCCATAGCTGTAGGCATCGAGCTAGACAGCTGAGACGTCATTTGAGGCGAGACCTGTTTCTGTGACATCAATCCGACTCCACGCCCAACAGAAGCAAGTAGTTTCATACACTCTAGATGCCCTTCCCATGTAGCGTAGTACATGGCCGAAAGACCTTTCTCATCCACAATGTCTACATCGACCTGACATTGGAGCAGCGTCTTGAGACACTCTACATGACCCTCGCTCGCAGCGTGGAACAGCGGCGTCCATTGGTAAAGCTTGTCTGGTTGGTCGAGGTCCGCGCCGTACTTTTGCAACATCAACAGTGCTTCAGGTGTCTTTCCCGATCGTGCCACCAGGTGTTGTGGAAACAGTCCTTCCGCATCGGAAAGCATCTCAGCAGACCTCTGTAGAAGAAGCTCAAGGATCTCCAATGATGCGTACTGACACGCAAGATTGAGCGGCACATGCTCTCCAGGCCCTAGACGTGTCAGGTCGGCGCCTCTCGAAAGGAGTATCTCCACACAAGCGAGCTTCGAATGCACGATCGCATGGATCAAGGGTGTAAAGCTATCCTGATCACGGAAGTTCACCGTTTCTGGGGCAGCGTTGATGAGTTCCTGTACTAGCTCGACATGTCCATGCATACAGGCGTAATGCAATGGTATCCTGCCGTACACGTCGGTTGCATGTACATCCACGTTACTCGATAGGCCAAGCTTAAGCACTTCGATTCTTCCACTGATAGCGGACTTGTGAAGACAATTTCGCTCGTTGATTTCGTCCTCTTGTTCGAGATTTACGAGGTTCGAATCGAGTAGTATTCTCAGTGCGGATTCTGGCGCTTCTGCAACGGTGCTGAGGAACGCCCTAGAGATGTGCTCGCGTGCATCGGGAAGGGTCGAAAGGCGGGCTAAACACTCCTCGATCTTGCCTTCGTTCGCGGTGTTGATAGCTTGCACAAATTGGTTGTCAAGCTCGAGCTTCGCTTCGAATGCAGGTTCGGAGACGCGCGGCTCGGCTGCAGGATGGGGTGCCTGTACCCCTTCGCCTTCAGCCCATCCCGAAAAATCAAGGAGTGCCTGGGTTGCTTGGTCGGACAATGTGCTGATGACTTCTCGGTTGAAGCATGGCTGGACTTCGACGGCGCGCGAAAGGTATAGTTGCTTTTCCCTTGACTGGCACTAAGTCAGCCAGTGTCGATAGATACGTAGGTAATGACAACGAACTTTGGACGTCTTGTCCCACTAGACGCTGTTAGCAGGCGGATGGCAGCAAAGAGGGATGCGTCAAACCTTCTTGAGGATTTTTGAGAAGGCTGTTTCGTTCACTTCCACAAATTGCTGAGTCGGGTTAGTATCGGAAGCCCCCAAGTGCATACGGACCAATCACCTCAAGCTTGTTGAGATCCATGCTAAACTGCTTTAGTCCTTCTTCGAGGGCAACATATCGCGAAGATGTCTTGGAGACAGATTGCGGGTGTTGTTGCATGACTCTCTTCTTGTCCAGTAGCGTGGTCAAGCGCAGACGCAACTGCAACTATAGTGAGCACTCATCCTCCGACGCACGAGTGCTAGAACATACCTCTGCCTCTTTCTGCAGGTAGAACGTGTTGACCTTTTCGAGCTCACGTTCCTGTTTATCAAGTAAGAATCTATGTACTTGTCGCGAGCACAAAGACGTACGACTCGGAAGAAAAAGGTGGCCTTGTTGGCTTGTAAGGACGACTGCGGATCCAGGGATTCATGGTGAAAGCCCTCACTCTGTGGTGGTATCACTGGAGTAGCGCTGAGTTTCTTGATGAGCTACAAATTATACGATTAGTGAAGCCCCTACGATACGGAAGGCATATGGACCTTCTTGAGCGCTTTGTAGTCGACAAAGCTGGCGGCATATTCTGGAATTTCCAGTTGCCTTTTTTGGATGTGCTTCCCGAACTTCCTGGAAAAGCGTGCTGAGTCAGTAGTGTCTTCTTTGGATGCAAGACTGGTCGACGAGGCTGTCTTTCTCAAAACCACCAAGGGGCGGGGTTGAAGGGTCTCCATATGAGGGGGAGACGTACATGATGCTAGCAGTAAGAAGAAATTCAAGAGTGTTCTTCTCGAAGCCTTGACGGCAATGCGCATACGATGCACAAGCGATGGATCCTGTTCCGGGTTTGATGTGCAGATCCAACCATACAGGACCCGCGATGACAGAGGTGTGGCCGTCAGCCGCCGCCTATTCGGCAGTGGAGACGAGAGAAAAGATCAAGATGTGCTGAGGCTTGCTGGTGACAGCCCAAAGAATGGCCGTGCGTAGTTGGTAGGGAAGTCGAGAAGTGAAGTCACTCACGATGCAGCTGGCGGTACCCTGCAGTTGGACCGATCAATCCATAGATTCGCTTGGACCTGGTCAGACAGCGTGTTAGCAGGTATTTGGAAGATGCCGAATGAGGGGCCAGGCTGGAAGGCGCCACCGACGACTCATTGTACGAGGGCCACGAGATTGTGCATACGCTGGCAGAAGAGCAGAGTGCCCATGTCGTTCAGACGACTGGTAAGGCGCGGGCGAATCAGCGTGCGTATAGCCGCCACGAGGTTCAGCAACTGCTCACGGACTGATATCGTTAGGTCGCTGGCATGGGGCAGGGGAGGTGTCGCATGCGGTTATTCTGCCGAATATTAGTTCCGTAGGAGGTGCTAGGGCGTTGGAAAGGCTGAAATCGCCCAATCGACGCTTTCGACGTTGTAGTGCCAGGGCCGTCGGGTTACGTAAGGGCGCCTGCTAGCTCAGTCAGGTAGCTCAACCGCATCCAAAGCATCTCCGCGACGCTTGATCGCGACAGCCGATGCTCACGCTGCCCATCATGTTCGCGCGCACTGCTACAGCCATCATCGAGGCTCAGCGGCATGTGGGTCTCATATACGGGAAGGCATGACTCTCAAAGGCAGAGCCATGCATGCCGGCAGGCCTCGTCATGCTGCATGATGCTACTGACTTCATCTGACTCGACTAACATCCAGTTGCAAAGTGGGACGGCCCGCGAGGGAGGGTTAAACACACATGCGCAATAGCCGCAAGGTAGCATCCAAGGCAATGCAAGTAGAAGGTAATCGCGTACATGAGCTTTATTCTCCGCCCTCGTCACGAGGTTGCCTCGACCCCTAAAACGCTCCTATCAATGTTAGTCTGCAAGCCAAACCAGGCTACCTCCATACCAGCTATATATCCATGCGTCAAATGAAGAAGTAAAAGGTCTATAGGGTATTAGACCAGAACGAAACCATTTTCCTTCCCTCAAACTTTGCCGACACAATTAGCTCTATGCTCCCCATCCAACGCAGCGTCGCGACCGTTTCTTCAGTCACCACACCCCTTGGCACTCACAAGCCATACATGTCCCATCCATCGAGACCTTCATCGGAGCGCTTACTACCTGCAGACTCGTGGGGAGCGCGTTCGCTATCGTACGGCGTGCGCGTAGCCACATTTGCATCCAACTCAACGTCAAGTCACAACTCATCGTCATCCATCTCCGAAGGCTTCAACAGACCACCGACCTTCATGGCTCGCTCACGCTCTTGTTCCTTCGCCGTCTTCGCAGCCTGCTCACGCTCCTCGAGGAACAACTCAGCGTTATCCCCAGAGAACTCCTTCAAGGAAATCAAGAAGTCGCGCAGAATGACCTTGAAGCGGTTGAGGTCGGAGTTGGTCGCGAAAAGTCCGTCAATAAACGATGCGATTTGAGCACTTTGAACAGTCAGTAGGCGTTCATACAAGCGAGAAGGGACAGCTTACGTCTGGAGGTTGGGGAAGGCAGTCGCTAACAGGTTGCCGACAAAGTTTCGCAGGAACTCTCGGTTCGGTGTGCCTGCTGGCGCCATGTCTGGTGACGTGTAGATGGGACCTTGCAGCTTGTCTGAGTCGACGAGCCAGAACATCTTGGCCAGCAGCATCGACTGCGACTTGAAACCAGCCTTGTGATCGCTGTCGGTAACCACGAAGAAGACGTCCTGGAGGATAGTCGTGAAGAATGTCTGGAAGAAGGTGTTGCAAGTTTGCTGGTCTGTTTCGGCCATGTTGGAAACCAGCTCGAAGCACATGGAAAGGCCAGCACTCTCAACCTCACGGTTATCGTGCTTGCTTGCCCACATGCATGAGTCAATGACGAACTTGAACGATCGTGCATCGAGGCGCAGCAGAGCGGGGAAGCAGCGAAGGTTGATGGTGCGCAAAAGCTTGAAGAACTCGACACGGTGTTCTGGGTATTCCGAGAAGTCCTTGTTGATCATGTCCAGAGTGCATTCGAAAACGCTATCCATGATGTTGATGATTTGATCCTCCATCATGCTCTGTGAAGAAGGTTAGCATATAATCTAAGAGTGACTGAGCGAGTCCAACCATGTGCTTGCTCAGATTGGGTCTCCAACGTACATGTAGCTTGTTGATAATCGTCGTCATGACGTTCAACACTTCTGCCTCACGAGCATCGGGAACATTGTTCTTGTAGTCGATCAAAACAGCTTCGAGCAGCTTCGGTACAATGTTGTTGTGGATCATCTCCAGGTCATCGGCCTTCTCAACGTAAGTGTTGATGAGTTTTAGGATCTCCTTCTTGATTGTACGAAGTCCGCGGACCTTGGGCATCTTTGTCGCAATATTACCCTCTCGTTGGACAGCTTCGTCGATAAGCTGTGAGCTCGCGCGGTACATTGTCAACATGTCGAAATATATCCGGCCGATCTGTGGGTAAAAGTAGGATCCAATTGAGCCGCATGCTGCGACGTTCGTCTTCATAATATTACCGACAATCTTGATGACTTCTGAATCCTGGAGACACGCAGGGTTTTGATTAGCTTGAGCGATAATGTTGTCCCAGGCAGAGTTTGGCAAAGCCATCAAGTCGGCAATCAAACGCTCCTGCATGCTCTTCTGTCCTTGCGCGCTGATCATGTAACCGCAGGCCTCGTAAAAAGTGTGGACTTGTTGAGGCGAGAGATCAGCAGTAATTTTCCTCAGGTTACGAACGATCTCGTCAATGAATGGCTCGGTTTCCCCAGGCTGAAGAGCAACAAAGTGTCGTCGGCACTTGTTTGCAATCTTGATGAACGTATCGCAAGCCATGTCCTGCACACCCTCGTGGGTCTCGTGCATGAACTCGAATAGCTTGTTGACAACAGTCTTGAGGAACTTCCAGTGTGCCTTAAGGAATCGAGGATATTGACCGACAATATACATAATGTTACTGGCCACGACAGCTTTGTTGTCCTTTCCTCGCTTCATTTCGGTCAATCCAAGCAAGTCCTTGATTACAGTGACCAGGAAGCGCTTCTCTGTCTCCTCGTTCATGGCGCCAGAGATGGAACCGATAGCCCAACAGAGGGTATTGCAGTTGGCCCATGACCACTCTGAACCATCGACCTGGCGAGCCAGCTTCTCCGACATGATTTGCTCGGTGTCGTTAACATCCAAGTGAGTAAGGAAGACGAGGCATTCTCGAGTAGACTTGTACAGTTGAATTGTGTCGCTCTCCTTCACGAATTCACGGACGATCTCGCCCTCGTCGTTCTCGACGATGAGAACTTCCTCGGGCCTGACCATCTTCTCAATCATGACTGTTCGGAGGTTTGAAAGAATTTCAGTGTACTTGTTCTTTCGCAGAGGATAGTTGGCCAGCTCGCGAGCTCCGTTGCCAGGGATACCCATGTTCAGAAGAGGGTTCATGTCGGTTATTGGGAGCGCCTGCATCTCGTCGTATAGCTCTGAGACGAGCTTGGTCCAGTATTCCAGGCAGATTTTGAAGACTTCACGATCGTCGATTTGGCTTATGCGAATAAGGTAGAAGTGGCCATGCGTAAGGAAGTCCCTGTTCATAAGGTTCTCGATGACGTTCAGATGCATGGTGAAGAAGTTTGTCAGGAAGAGCGCGAGATTCAGGACGAACTCCTGGTCCCGGCCATTGCTAGAAGAATATGTACTCTTCAAGTCCAGTGAGAGGGGGATGATCTTGGAGATGGCAGTTAGTGTCTCGGTGAACATCTGGACGAGCTTGTCGTCGTATGCGGGTTCGGTGTGCAGGCCAGCGATCTCGGTCAAGCATTTGAGGGTAATGTTGCGGAAGTCAGGAACTTCGAGGAATCGACTCCGCAAAGTTTCAATAAGGCTCTGGCCACTCGGTGGTGTCTCGAAGATGTACCCCAGAGGGATCCAGTTCAGGAAGCGCAGCAAGGTTTCGAGAGTCGCCTTGATGAGAGCAGCCTCGGTGGCTGTGCGCAGGACCTCTGAGCAGAGCTGGTAGATGGCTGTGAACTCGTCGCACATGCTTTGCTTGAGTTCCTTTCGCTTGGCCGAAGTCATCTGCTCCTCTGAGTAGTCGAAGACCTCCTCGGACAGGAGTCGCAGGATGACCATGTTGTTCTCGCATATCCCTAAACTGCTATGGCACGATGATATAATCTCGTTGATGAAAGTTGGCCAGTTGTGGGGCCACTCCTGCTTCAGGACGGAGACGAGGACGAGGTTGAGCTTGTTTAGAAGGGTACGCTCGGTGCGGCGGCTTTCGTCGTTGTTGGATAGCTGGATGATGAAGTTCACGATGAAGTTTCGGATACCTGACTCGGTCAGCAGCACTCAGACGACAATTGCGATGTGGCATACCTTGACACTGGTCGCGAGGCAGTACCTTCCACCTCGTCATGATAACATTGTCGAGAACCTGTAGTCCGAGATCTGCCGATAATTAGCACGATGACCACCAGCCTTATACCACGTCGCTAAGCTCACACTTGGTCTGCGGGTATTGCGCATCGGATAGGATCTTGTCGACTAGGAGCCATGCGTCGGGGTTCTCTTTGAACTACGCAAATGTTAGCGGGATGCGTGTGTAAACAGTGTCAGCGAAGATGCCTACCTGGTTCAGCGTAGCCTGAGCTTGCTTTTGCTGCAGAAGATGGAGTGTCAGCCACGTCCTCATCACATTTCCCATTCAGACTCCGCATGGAAACCTACTGTGTCGCCGCGACCCTCGTAGAAGGCGCGCACTGTGGCGTCGAGCTCTTCGATTGACAGAGACATGGCGGGCTGCAGCGCGGCGGGAAAAGCTCCCAATCAGCCTTGAAGTATATTCTATTTCCCCAAGAAGCTCAAGCGTCGGCTCAGCTTCTTAAGCAGTCGGCGTGTTGGCGCGTTGGGCGTGGGCGTGGGCGGAGGGCGAGCGCGCAAAGGTCCGTTGCCTTGCAGAAGTTGTGTACAGACAAAGGTGGGGCACTTGTGCGGCGGAGAGTGTGTGCGGGCACGCTCGTCAAACTCTTGCGGAGGTTGTTTGTATCTGGGGATCGCTAGGCCGTGATCAAGACTGTCTTTCTAGCTGCTCGCAGTGGTGGATGTTTCAAGAGGCACGGGTTTCGCGGTGAAGTCGCGTTTGTCAACTGGAACCAGTCTACCCGTGCCGAGAGACAAGCACTAGCGCTAACTGCTCCACCTTGGATCGACTGCTACCCTGCATCTTCCTTCATATCATCAACTCCGCTTAGAAGCCCAAGCATCTGCTTTGCTAGGTTTCCGATAGGTGACATACCCATGTGCTGTTGGCGGGTGTACAAGAATGCTTCACCCTGCACACGTGTGCGCTACCATGACGAGGTCATCAGAAGAACAAAGCAGCTTAAGGCTTCCTCATTTATAACTGGTGATGGCTTGAAAAGAGATACAGAGGCGTTCTACATCCTGTTATATTCTTGGCTTACCTATAACCTGCTACTCATGGTGCTATCGGGACAGGAAACGTCGTTGTAGGCGTTCTTAGAGGATTGTATGGTGTTAGGTATCCGGCCAGTATTGCGCACGTTTAGAACCAGCAGCAACAGACGTATCTTGATATGTGCGTTTCACCACAACATCTGGATTCAAAGCTTCTGCGCTGCGTAGATCATGCGGGAAAGACACAATGTAGGAGACATTATTTTTCTATAACGACTTCGTTTGGTATCTAAGGTTGGCTGACGATGGTCCATGAACACGCAACCTCTTTCCGTACCGCCAATAAATCTTATGCCTTGACCCTGCCATCCTTGACCATCTCCCGAATCGCGTCGATGCTGCTCTCAACTGCTTTCTTCGCCATCTATCATCTCATTAGTATCCAACTCAAAACCAGCGTTGTTCGCATCCGCCATTCCAGTAAGACAATGACAGTGAGCGGGAGTACTTACGCCCTTGAGTCGTTGCCTCTCCTTGTCAGCTTCTGGAGTCCCCTCTTGCAAATTTGGCATGATCCACTCGAAAGCATAAGTCATGTTCAAGTCCTCGGTCTCACCAGATGGACCATCGGAGATGATGTTGCGGACATGACTTCCGTCTTCTTGCTCGAAATCGACCTGTGTACATATAGTCAGCATATTTCCTACATCGAATTGAGGAGTTGCAAATGTTTCATCGTGCTTTAGATATCGACCTTGGGGACGAGTTCCACTCACCCAACTCGGCCAGTAGCTTCTAACGACTTCCTTGGCCTGATCCTTGGGGCCCGTTCCCTTCTTGAATTTGACGTCCCTAGTTACCACTCCATCTTTCTCTTCAAGTACCTCGCAGCTCTCAATCACAGGCACGAATTCTTGGGCAAAACGTATCTTGCGCTGCAGGCCAGCCCAGATTTGTGCTTCGTTGAGCACCGGTGTCGCACCGGCGGGGTTGATGCGGGAGGTGTATGCAATGTTGATGTTCACCATGTTTACGAGTATGCTTCAAGAAGCGGTTTGTTCGTGTTGTAGGATGGTTTGAGTGATAGATGCTGAGATGCGGAAGCTGCTGCCTGTTGTACTGCAGGCGTGGGGTAAGATGGCAGTCTGATGTCAGTATTGTTTGATGAGAAGGGATGGCTTGATGGTGGTGCAATGTTTGTGTTCTGAATGCTGGAAATCACTCTATATACTCTCTCTTGCCTTGTATCATGTATGTAGTGGAGCAACTGGCGTGCCGAACAGATTTCAAGGCTTGGGTAAGCAACGACGTTCGGCTCCCCCCCAAGGCCGAGCTATGAAGAGCCGCTTATGCAAGGTACTCTTGAGAAGAGCGCGAAGAGCCGAACATTGTCTGCTAGTTTGCTGTGAAATCATTCAGCTAAATTGACATGATCTGTAATGTTTTTACATAGTCGACAATTCCCATCAGGCTTAGTTAGTTCCGGTGAGACTTCGGGATTGTTGTTCACCACGACCAATGCGTGTTGCGTGCATCACTGAATTTGACAACGAAAAAAGCTAGAACAGTTCAAAGTTTTCAAGTCCATCAAACGTGGCGGGGCATGATCTGTCATTGAGGTATCATTTCACCAGCCTTTCGCTCTAGATATCCGTAGTAGCTACTCAGCACAACCCGCCGGAACGCCATGCTTTTGATATGCACATCACCCTTTCCCCTTATCCTTGCAAGTACTCTAAGCATCCTCAACGATTTGGGTGTGCAGACCCTTGGGGTCCTTGACGTTGACGGCCTGGACGTAGGAGTAGAGCTTCTCCTTGGCACCCTCCTCGTCGTTACGCTTACGGGAGATGCGGACACGGAGGCGGAAAGGAACGCCCTTGATACCGGACTCCCAGACCTTCTTGTTAAGCTGGGGGTCTAGACGGACATCGTTGGTGCCCTACAGTGAAAGAGTTAGCCTTGAGCTCATACGATCGATGACGCTGTGGCAGCATTCGCATATAGCGCACTGGCCAAAGGGACATTGAACCTTGGATGCCACATACCATAGCCTGCTTAGCGAAAGCGCGGATCTCCTTGACAGCCCTGGGGGCCCTCTTCTTGAAGCTGACACCGTGAACCTATACCCGATGTATTAGCCTTATGTTCTCTTCAGTCTTCCGCCCGATGCCTGCATCGCCAAGAATAGATGCTCAAGCCAGTGTGATCGGCCTGGTCGAACATCCACCCAAGGTTCTGCGAGACCATCTGTGGACTTCACAAAACTGAATCAACATACGCGCTTGTGGAGGTGGATGGTGTATTCGCGGGCGACGACATCGGCGATGGCGCTGCGGCCGGTCTTTCCAGCAGACTTCTTGCCGGCGGACTTGGTGGTAGGGGCCATTTCTGAAGAGAGAATATATGTTAGCAAATGCCTATTACAGCACCAAACGGCTGGAAGAAGGTATTGTGAGGGTCGCGCAAAGCAACCACATTCAAAACAAGACAGAGAGCGCAATACATACTGACAGAGGTTCTCGCTGCGGGGGTTAGTCGAAGATGAGGATGCGAGTTTGAGGCTTGGAGTTCGAAAAATCGCGATGGTCGAAAATCCAATGCGCCTCGTGTGGCCGCTTGCTTAGCGCAGGGCACGGGCCACTGCTCCACGTGAGAATGCTCCAAGCGCTTTCAACGTTCCATCGTTAAGCAAGAACATGAGCTTAGGCTGAATCGTGATGCGTTTGTATTTAGGTATCCATAATTTTCTACATAGGCTTTTCGTATGTTTCTAGGTCGCTATTCAAAACAATGCCCAAGCGGTATTCATAACACATCCTCCTTAACCTTCCCAGAACGCCTCAGTAACGCCTTACACATGCCCTGGCAAATCAAACTCCTTGCCGCGCTTTTTAACGTTGACTTCGACACATTCGTCTTCATCGTCTTCATCATCGTGGTGTTCGCTTTCATCACTGCTACTGTCGTCATCGTCTTCTTCATCTTCGTCTTCGTCGCCTGCAACGAAGCGATTCAGTCGTCCACCATCTTCGCCCCAAAATTGCAATCCTTCGGGATCACGATCTTCTGAGAGATCCAATGTTGGAATCTCTTCGAACAAAGCCGGGTTCAGGTCGTTCCTGAAGCGGACGAGAGACTGGGTGAAGCGTTCCAAAACGTATTGCGGTAGTGATGGTTCCTTGACCGTTGTGCCATCTGTAGCCGGACGCTCAGTACGGTCGTCGCTACCGAGATCGATGAATGGTACGTCTTCTGCTCGGACATCCCCCGTTGGATTAAGATAGGCATCGAATGATCGACGCACACGTTCAAGCATCTGCTGTGCAGCATCAGGCATTTGAGGCATCTGAGGCATTTGTGGAAATTGCGGTATCTGTGGAAAATTCGGCAGCGGTGGAAACTGCGGTAAAGATGGGAACTGTGGCATCTGAGGCATCTGTGGCATGCGTGGTCTGCCTGGAAACTGTGGCATCTGGAAAGGGAAAGAGGGCAGCTGACCTGGTAGCCATGTTTCTTCTGGCTCATCTGGTTGAAAGTAGTATCGAGGTGAACGTAACGGTGCTTGGGAGGAGGGCGAACTAACGCTCGCGGGTGATCTCGAGCCTGAGTCAAGATCGGCATCCAGTATCGCGTTGGCAGCCTCTTCACTCTCTGGTCCATTCAAAATACGAAGTTCGTTCGTATTATATGAATCGCATGTACCGCATTGGTTTCCGAGCCAGTGGTATTTGACGGAAGACTTGGCTGAGCAATCGTTGCACTGAACGACTGCTCGGGTATTTGCAAATTGTTCTGGCATCGGCTGACCCTCGATTGCTTGAGTCAACTTCTGCCACTGCAGATCCATACACACAGCGCTCTTCTTGCAAATTGGGCACTTGTACGCAGTCTGCATGTAAAGATTGTAGCATCCTTTGTGCAAGTAATGCCCGCAAGGCATGGAGACTACAGCGGTGGACGACGTGAAGAGATGATCGCCGCAAATCGGACAATCGCCCTCAGTAGCCCGCGGGAGGCATTTGTGCGAGGTTGCATGAGAGATGGATATGCAAACATTGCAGCTCTGCGCACGGTTAGTGCTGGCTAGATCATGGCGAGACTATGTCCATACCTTGCAGTGATAGAAATCCTTACCCAGGCCTTCTCCTCGTCGGCAGATGCCACAGTCTGGGCAGTGGTAGATCTTCTTCTTGCTATTGTTGTCCCAGAGCTTGCAAATGTCACAGTAGTAACATGCGGCCTCAGTCTCACAGTTCTTGCAGACCTCGGCTGCTGGCTGAGGGGTGCCGCACGCCATGCACAGCATGTTCTGTGTCATCTTCCTGTTCAGGTTGTGGTCCTCAGCGGCATCGTGGCAGTGCCGACACGTGTACCAGCGGCGACATTCAAAGCATTGTACTTTGACATTGCGCTTGTAGTGCTGGCAACCAAGAACGAGTTCTCCTTCGGCAGTGTCGTCATCGTCGTCTTCGCCGTGCTCTGCACCGGCGTGGTCGTGATGGGGTCGATATGTCGGGTTCGCGTCGCCCTCTCGAAGATTGTACGAGATGTCGGGAGTGACGTCGGTTGTAGACGAAGACGAGTACGGCGACGAGGCATGGATGTCGGAGAAGAGGGACTGTCCGGAGGTCGGAGTAAAAGGGCGGTCGTGTGATACGAAGCTCGCTGGCGACGTGGGTCGCATGTGGTTGTACTTCTCCGTCATCAGGTTGTGTATCATGCGGGCACGCTCCTGATCGGATATGCTCAGGGCCCTGATTTCATGGATGCGCATGCGGAGATGGGCCATGCCATCGTCTGCGGGGAGCAACTCTGACATGGCGCTCACATTCTGGCTACGAGTGCTGGCCGGGTGTTGGAGCGACGTGGGCGACGGCGCAGTAGAGTCTACATCGAGGTGACGGAACTGATCTGCGAGGGTGCGGGATGGATTCGCGGACATTTCGACTGGGGTGTCTATTGGCAGATCGTCATGGCTCTGCTCCTCGTCAACAACAGCAGCACTGCGAGGCCGCTGCGAGAAGGACGAGTAACGTCGGACTCGATCCATCAGGGCGATGGGCCGGGCCCCAGTTGCGTCGGTAATGTTTCTATCATGTGCGCTCGCCGGGTCCGCGTCCGTTTCGTGAGCCGGCCGTGGGACAGGTGCAGATGCAGAGTCGTGATTATCACATGCTAGAGACCGTGCTCCGTCATGATTCCCTTCGCCAACACCTGAGAACCGCCGTGCATGGCGCACAACGGGGTCAATAATAAACGACGAGAAGAGACTCATTGGGTCATCGTGTACACTCTAGGGACAAGTGGGAGGGGGGATGCTTCGTTTCAGGTCGCCCAGAGCCTCTCCTCCGGCACTGCTCGCACTGTGCTCTTCTTGACCACGTTTCTGTGGCTCAGTTGCTCACATGCTCCCAAAACGCCACAGTCGCCACGAGGGAATCTTGGAAATCCTGCTGCCTTTCTTTCCTCGGGCGTCCCTCACTCCGGTCCGAATACGTTCTTTGTCTCTTTCGTCTTGTCTTGCCATCCTCAACACGACCCATCCCGCACCCGCAAGCATTTCCGGAACGGGCACACGACACACGGCCAGCTTGGTCGCTTTCGCAACCAGTGCATCGCAATGTGGAAACACCTCATCGGCAGACCCACGCCGTCTGCCTTTGCCGTCCCCGATGCCTGGTACTGGTCCCCTCTAGGCCCGATACCTACACGCTATCGTCAGTCCACCCGGAAGAGCAGGAAAGCACCTGTGCAACGGTACCTGTCTCGATACAGGCATAACAGCTGTCACGCCATGCGCAAACCGTAGCGGTTTGACCTCATGCACATTTCCATTTAATGTTTGCTTTGTTTTGATTTGTGCGAGGTAACCGCAACGGTACGGCATTCCGCCGGTGTTTCTGTTCTCTACGCCGCGGGCTTTCTTTACCTTGGGCTTCGCAAGCGTTGGCGTCTGTTTAGGCCACCAACTCACCAAAGTTGCAGTGTATCATCAAGTCGAGTACATGTCTCCCGATTGAGAAAGTATTGGACGCAGCTGTTGATTACGGCAGATTTCCATGGAAATTACAGACGATGGTTTTTGACGTTCCAGTGCCTTTTGAGCCACGGATGGCGACCGCCACAGTGGCAATCCGCATCCTTCGACACTTGGGTAGCTCCACCGACACCTATACCCTCATTGTACTACACGTCTTTTGTCGTGGCGACTTCCTGTCAGGGCAGTTTGAATGAAAAACTGTGGATTGCGGCGGACTTTTCGCGGTCGCTAAAAGGACCGATGCGATCCATCCTTCTCTACAATCCGCGGAACCACGATACAAGAACATCGCTTGTCTACTGTATAACTGACTCGACTACAAGTAGGTTTGAACTGCGTGGATCCCAACACGCCGCAAAGGGTAAGTTCTCAGAGAAGATGTTGATTCCAGCAGAAAAACCCCGGTATGAAGACGAGCCATTGCAGCCTCGATTTCAACAATTCCACGGTACGACAGCGGCATGACGCATATCGCTGCCATGTCGCCGACTTGTCTCCCATGGGACGATCCCACGATACTACTACATCAAGTAGATTCCATGATATCCGTCGAATGCAGTAGCTATGTTATGGGTGGACGAGTAGACGGTGTGAGATGTTGACATGTCTCGTTGTCGACGCTAGACATCCACACCAGCCAAGCTCCCGCAACGATACCCTGGATCGGCATGCCAGCCCCTGATATACCCACAACAAGTAGTTTTACAATTTCTGTCGAAGTCAGAACGCGAACCAGGGGTGAGATTGTGTCGAGACGTTTCGTTCCCGTCCGTTACCCATGGATACGTTTCCGAGTCTGGTAAAATTTTGGAGAGTGTTGATTGCAGTCACGGTTTCTTGGATGACTACCAGAGCCGGTACCAGCAGCTATGACTCTTGTAGAGCATCAAATTTCCGCATTGCTATTGACAAATGTGCCAGGAAAGGCAAATCAGTGTAAAGTGTCGAATGTAGCAACATTTTCACGGTTGGCCATCAAGACTAGACATACGCTATCGAAGTTTCTATTCACCCCTTAATTTGCTTTGTGCACCACCTCGGCACTGTCTCCGTTCAGAAAACGATAGCGGTTTCTGGCATAACCTATTCGACTTGAGACAGTCGACCTCTCCTTCGGCTAGAGATAATGTTTCAGTCGCTCAGAACTGGCTTCTCTCACATGCAATCACTCCATCATATAGTCACTCAAGCGAGTATGTCTTTGGGGTTTTCAGTAAGCCATCTGGCGATTACTTCATCATAGTCTGCGATATCCTGCCCGTATTAGTACATATCGAGCTCTTGAGAAGAGCTGTACTAATGCAGTTTTTTACACATCCCTTCAAACATGAGAGAATTTGGACCAAAGCTACAACCTGACCAAATCTCCACGTGTCTTCGAAATCGCCCTGGAGATGTACTTGGTTTGCAGACCGAATCGCCCATACCATGTACAAGTGTAGCAGGTATTGGGCAAGAGGGAGGCTCATGGCACTCGACAAAGAGTCAAAGGAATTCAGAAAAGAGAAAAGGCGTCTTTCTCTAGAAGATGGTGGTCTGTCTGTTATTGCCAGGTTGTGAAGGAAGAGTGGGTACCTTCCGGAGAGAACTTCACGCACAAACCCGTACTGTGCTCTACAGAAAGCAATTTGTGGTTCGAAACGATCTTGAAGCGCACCATACTGCTCTCCTAAACCAGCCATCTTAGTCAACTCTGCAAGGCCCAGAGCAGGGAGTTTGTAAAGCAGCGTCGTGTATGCATACGACTCTGTGTAGCTATAACCCAATAAGCTGAACATATACAAGCAGGTGATCCCTAGGTAAATTTGATCTACCGTAGGATGCGACGAGGCTGGACTTGCGATGCCCTTGTAGCGATAACAATATCCAAACCTGTCGACATTCACCTGCCGAGGGCTAGGCCGAAGAGAATTGCATACACTAGGTAGAGTATGCAAAACACGAAAGTCCAGAAAGATGTCGACACTAGAAACTTCCTCATTCGCTGTATCGCGTGTATCCATGATGGCTTTTGTTGAACAATACTTTGGCTTTCGGCTTCAACATCTTGCTTCTTGTGGGTTCGAGAGCTCCAAACTACGAACATCGACGCCGTGAACGATATGCTGTCAACAGTTAGCTAGAAGGGCGAAGAAGGCACCACAATCGCTTACGCGGTAAAGTTAATGGTGTCATAAACTACGTGTAAATGGTAGAGACTAAGGCTATTCCACGGGAACATAGCACCAACAAGGAGCGCAATCCCTAACTAGATTAGCGACTAGGATGTTCTGTAGCAAAGGAAGCGTACCGTTGGATAATTGAACTTCACTGATAGACTCAAGAATCTTGCCCGCAAAATCGAGTCTACATAAACGAATAAATTCTTTTCGGTGTACACTCCATACCTTGCAAAGCGGAGTTGTCGTACAGAAGAATCGAGTCGAAGGCTGCAAAATGTCTCAGCTGGGTAAGCTGGGTGTTTTAAAGTACATGAAGAAGCAGGAAGGCTGTCAGGATTGACAGTAAGGCCGGAAATATTAGGGTGTGGTTGGCGAAAATCAGAAGCAAGTAAGCCAATTTCTGCAAACCTCCGCAGCTCTTGGTGAGTGAGACCGGCGCTATGCCATCGTTTGCAGAAGGAGGCTGAGGCTGATGAAAACAAAGACTGTACAACAGGATAATCAATTGACTGCAAATGCACCACAGTCAGTCGCCATCGCGATAATGATACACGCGCACAACACTAACACAACAACTTGTCTTTGCTACTCGTGTTTGACCTACTACATGCAGCTTGGAGTCGTCCTCTATTTCTTTCGAGGCGGAAGTCCTCGTTCGTATCTTCGTGTTCGCTGTCCAGGTATGAATTTTTCTCCGGGAAGCCTGTCCGCCCTGTATTTCCATTAATCCTTTGTACGCTCCTTGCTATGGTCCGCTTAGCCGACTTACCAGGTTTTATGATAGCTTAAATTCGCACCATTTTCTAGTGTTGTCAATCTCGTGATTTCTGTTATAGCTGAGGGTTCTTCCAGCCTAAGAAGCTTTTCTTCTTCTGTGAGAGACTCCACTTTTTCATCAAGAGCCGCAATCTCTTCTTGTATGGTTCTCTGCTTCTCCCGCTCTGCCATCTGCTTTCCCCATATACCACTCTTCCGATTCAATTCATCGAAGGAATCAGTGGTGAGACCGAATGTATCAGTATCGCTTAGTATCCGATTGACTCTGTGCTTCTCCTCTTCAAGCATTGCGGCGATTTTGTTTCTATCGTCCTCAAACTTTGGGTCCTCCCAATACACCTTGTTCGGTCGCAGCCGCCGCTCGCGGTGTAGATCACCCACAAGGTATAAACTGCCTGTCAAAACGATAGGTCGGTCAGGATCTCTGAGATATTTAGCTGTGCATAACGCTCGAAGTGGGCCGCCCTCTGATGCAACCAATCCCATGATGCCAGGCTCGACAGATTTTGCCATGTCGAGAAGTCGACTGGGATCCATAGGCTTGACCCAAGGCATTCCATCCACCGGACCAAAAGTCGTAGTCACGACATTGTCTCCTGGTTGTAGTATCTGGCTTAGATATTTATGTGCATCTTTCCCTTCGGTCATGGCAAGCACCCATGTAACAGGCCATCCGTTTCGTGGGACACGACCCTCATTAGGGATCTTCTTCCTCCTCTGAAACTTTTGAACATGCTGACTCAACACTCTAGCAGCATCAGGATTATGGGCTCCATCTACCAGGATGGATTCTCCTTTAAACATCCTCGATGACACCGTGGCTCGTTGACCAAAGATAGGCGGTACTTGAACCGATTCCAATCGTCCCGGGTTTTCGACTTTAGACTTCCGTAGTATGCGCCCCATGTTCCAGGTTGTATACTCTCTACCGAAGCTCTCCATTACGGTCTTTGCAGCCATGGCAGCTATGACCATATTTTCTTGATGGACTGGTTGTGCTGGTAGCCAGTCCTTGTTCTGGAATAGTACCTTGGAAAAGCCTGGGGGATCGTACTCAAGACGAGGTCCTGCAGCAATTTCGTCTGCATACTCGTTGATGACAGATACGACGTTTTTCTCATTCTTGGGGTTGATGAGGTAGGGTACATGGGGCCTGAGGATACCAGCTTTGTGGTGTGCAATCTCTTGCAGAGTACTGCCCAAGAAGCTCTCGTGATCTCGCGCTATTTTTGAAATTACAGAAATCACTTGGTTGTTCAGTATGTTGGTAGCATCGAGCTTTCCGCCCATACCAACTTCAACCACACCAACCTGTACTTGCTCTTCATTGAAGATGTGGAAGGCAGTGGCGGTCAAGATCTCGAAATTTGAAGCTTTGATGCCTTTTTTTATGTTCAGATCAATGTAGTGCTTCTCAATTTTGCGAAAGAGGGCCTCTTCTACGGGCTTGTTGCCAATGGATATGCAGTCCCATCTGCCAATGTTAGACAGCGACCACCTCACTTGACAGCGTGCCTACCTGTCTATGAGATGTGGAGACGTGAACTTCCCACATTTGAGTCTCTTAGAAAGCAGCGTCGATGCGAAGTGGCATACGGAGCCTTTGCCATTGGTGCCGGCGACATGTATTGACTTCCAGGGGAAGTTGACATTCTTCAAGAGCTGACTGATCCTCTCCAAACCAGGCTGGATCATGGCCACAAGAGAGGTGGTCTATAGTAGTGTAGGCAACTATGGATCCCGAGGTCTAGGCGGACACGCGATGCTTTGAAACGAGGTACCTGCAGATGCGTGTTGACTCACTAGAACGAGTGGGCCAGAAGCTGCAGACAGGCGCGCCCTTAGCGTGAGAGGCAGCCACGGCTTGGCGGTCACAGTCGCGCCTGCCAAAGACGTCGACTTGTTTGGTGTAGGAACTCCAGGCTGTGTACTGTAGTAAAGTGCACAAGCTTCGTGTCTAGAGCCAAAGGTGTTTGCTATATAGAGATTGGTCAGACAATGCCCGACGATGTAGATTTTTTATGTCGAGGGGCTGCGCCTCCCCCAGACGCTTCAGCCTCACAGTTCTGTTCTAGGCGGTTGCGACGTGCGCCGCCCTAGTTCCTTCTCCGACCCATCCCCATTAGCATCATCCGGCGCGTCACCATCCACACGGCAACCACACCCATCTTTCTTGGAATCCCTAACTTCACGTATCTTGCGCAATGGGTATACCGATCGGATGGAATGTGAAGCGCGAGGAAGCAAAGGAGAAAGATGTACTTCGAGCCGACATCGCCGGCTCACGCTCACCCATCCGGCGCCGCGCAAGACCCAACAGATCACCGCGTCCTCGCAGCACACTCGATACCGATTTCCTCATCTCTGCTCCGCATATCGAGTGGATACCTCGCTCGTCACATCGCGCGCGTTTGGCGCCGCCACCTGTTCCTGAAGTCTCGAGGACCGAATACCGCAGCAACGAGGCTTCGAGGCACCCACCTACTCTACAGCGCGACGAGAGCAGCGTGCGCCGTTCGCGCAGTCGTTTTGATGGCTACATGCGCGCCCACGAGATGCGCGCCACTCCCGACCACGAGCGCCCCTTAGCAGCCTTCACCCCAGGATTTGCGCCAGCTGCAGCTTCGCGGACGTCAGAAGCAGAAGCACAACGCGATGCGCAAGACCCTTTTTCACGCCTGCGAGGGTACACTTCATACCGTCGCGCCACTGGACGATCAACGCGAACACGTTCCCAGAGTCCCCGTGCTGACCCATCTGGGGCGCGAGGCGACACTGCGAATGTGCCCGAGGAAAGCCACGAGACAGGCGAGAACAACGCCGTAGCTTTCCCTCCACTACGCAGGATGGGTCGCCGTACTATTGCGGATGGACCGCTACCCGCCAGCTCCTTGCGCGAGTCTTGGAGCCCTGTTGCTACACTGGACGGCCTGGGCGACCGGAATCGCAGTGTCAGCCCTTTTGACGATCAGTTGCAATGGGATAGTTTTCTCACCACTGTCGTCGACGACCCTGTTGCACCAACTGCGGGGTCATCCTTTGCATCAGCCGCAGCGTCAGCCTCATTCACAAACTCGCATACCAGTTCGCGAGCGGGAAGTGCCAATTTGGCGGCATCCTCGCAAACTCATCTTACAGTGCCATCCCGACGTCACTCACCTCCACAAAACGAACAATTCATGCGGGCATGCGATACCTCGGAGGATGACACAGCATCAGATACCGAAGAAGAAGAAGAAATGGATATACGTGGCAGTATACGTCGTCGTACAGGCACAGAGGCTTTTAGAAATCGCTTGGGTATCTCACACTCGGCTGAGCCTCGCCGAAGAATGCGGCCGTCGTATTTCTCCAACGAGCCTCCTGCGCGAGATATAGAGCGTTACTCACTCCGCGTAATCGACCGATCCCGAGACGCCAGCGAAGTCGTTCGCAGCTTCTACAACTCGGGCATTTGGAGAGATGTCGAGACAGAAGTGGCGCAGAGGCCACAAATACCACAGCTTGATGGACCTTCAGAGGAAGCTGCGAGCGCCAGCGACAACGAGAGCATTCCTCCACTTGTCCGTGCCGACTCACCGCCGCCGCCGCCACTAGATCAGGAGCTCCGTGACGCGCGGTCGTTGCTGGAGCGTCTTGCGCGCAGAGAAGATGTTAGTGACGACTTTTGGGCTTCGGTAGGCTTGACGCGGTCTTTTGCCGACCCTGTTGAGCGCTTTCAGGAGCTTGAGCGGTTGTGATCTGACTTGCTATCCCCACTGCTTCCGTTGGCTTGGCTGGTCCTGCCACTTTGATGTTTGTCCACTTCTGCTGCAATCATGCTGTTTACGTTGCACTTTCTTGGTAACTATCTACCGATTGGCATTTGGCCGCTTAATGCTCGTGTTACGAAAAGTTATGCTCCACAATGTGAAGACATCTGTGGATGGCTTGGAACAAGTTCTGGGAGAATCAATCGCGGATTTCGTACTCCTTACGATGGATAACTCATTCAATATCGTTATGTAGCTTGAGTTCCTAGAAAGAGGAACAAGAATAAGACACAACTTATTCTGCACCACCCTCACGTGTTCCTCCCCAATCTCATTCATCAACTCTGTGGTCGTCACACGTATCATACTATGGTCTTGATATGCAGGTGCAAGAAATTGAATATATATCGTATGCTTGACTCCTAGGATGCAACCGCCTAATGCTCATGTGTGGTATCAAGAAATCCCATGCTGTTCAGTATAACGCCATGCTCCCAGTTGGCTAGTTGACTCTCATCTCGATGCCCGCTTGATTTGCAGAGCAACAAGCTTCTCGGCATTAGTCAGCCACTTGTCCACAAACACTTGATCAGTAAAACGCTCAGATGACCTTCGAGCCCGTTGTCGCATGTCGAGTGTGTCTTCGGGTGAAAGAGTAAGGGCCTTGCGGAAGCCGTCGGCGTATTGCTCTGCAGTGGTGGCATGGAAACCTTGGTTGTACGTTAGCAATAATATATATTTGACAGAGTGATGTGCATCAGACTTACCGGTGGGTTTTCCATCGACCTCAATCACAATGTCTAGCTTAGGCCCACCAGAGTTGTTGACCACAGAGATCATACCAGCAGCTTGATACTCCACCACACCAATACCGAAATGTTCGTTCCACATGGCGTTCACTCCCACACTAGCTTTGCGCATCCACTCGAGCATTTGCGGCCACGGCGCGTCGCATATGAACTCCACATTCTCCTTGATGTGTAGTTCATGCGCTAGCAACCTCAGCTCGTAGACACGCTTCGCATCGTCGTGAGAGTTTCGTACTGAGCCAATCAGGACGAGCTTCAGGGTATGGTTGGGGTATGCTGGAAGTTCAGGTGTGGAATGCAGGAATGATGCGAAGGCCTCGAGAATAAGTCTGTGATTCTTTTCCGGTCGGAACTGCGCGATGTAGAGGAGGTAAGGGCCACGATTCTTCTCGCTGGACTCGGAGACTGGGACGGCTTCTATGACTTCTTCAACAGCTACAGGCGGAAAGACGACGTCGATGTCGATTGACTTGCTCCTTTTGATACGATATGGCTCCCAGAGAGTTTTGATGTGGCTTTGCGTCCATGTGGAGTTGGTCATTACCACATCAATGGTGCTACCGAGTTTGCTGTATAGTTTTGCAAAGAGTTGCCAGTACTTTTTCTTCGCCATACCCCGATATCCTGTGCCTGTTCCTGCATTTATACCTTGACCTCCAACTTGTAGCGAATCGAGCATATCCGTGGAAATGGTCGGGTAGTGTACGTATGCACCGGTGGGTACGGTTGGGAAGAGGAAGGACGACAGGCCAAGAGCGAAGGCGTAACCCATGGTATCTATGAAGATATCCGGTACAAGGAGGCTGAAGGCATCGTAGGCAAGGACGAGGGAGCCGAGAGATTGGCCCAGTAGTGTAAAACGCGGCCATGTGCTTGCGAGTACCCAGTCGCGAGTTGTGAGGTAGAGAAAGTGGACGGTCGGCGGGTGTAGCTGGATGTTGAAACGATCTTTGACACGTTTGAGAATGGCAGCTTTGTCGACATCATGGTCACCGGTGTAGACTATGCAGGTAGCCTTTGGCCAACGCTTTTGGTGTGCTCGGATCGCAGCCCATAGGACTCGCTCACCACCGCCTCCTGCGTTGCTGTAAAAACAGCATGTCAGCGACCATACAGCAGCACTTCAGAATATGCCACGCGTACCAGAAAGGGTGGAAGAAGCCGACAATACCATCCCATTCACTGTCAGCCTGGCCATGTTTCACCGTACCACTAGGAGGTGTGTTTCCAACTTGTTCCCAGTCTTCATCCTCTTTCTTTTTGTTCTTCTGCTGCGCCTCGAATGTCTTGGTCTCGCTTGCTACCCTGGCGAGTAACAGCTCTCGTCGTGTACGGGAAGATCGACGCAAGTGTTGTCCCACTAGTTCCGCAGCAAAGCGCAGGGTCTTGGGGAGAAAGACGGTAGCCAAGAGTGCGGGCACTAGTAGCGAGAGGAGGATGGGTAAAAGACCCATCTCGAAGCGACACCGAATGGAGGCACGGCGGAGGAGACAGACAACGTAAGACTCAGGCCATGGACAAATGTTTAGGCAAAGCGACAGCTGTTCAGGTGGGATGACATCGGTTCCTGGCCCCGGCCCGAGAGCATGGAACCCTGACGCGCTAGCAGGAGCCTCTTTCTCTCGCGAGTCGGACATTTGACTAGATAGTTGAAGCATCCCAAATTTATCACAACATGCTGTCGTCGCGCCTCTTGCGGCAGCCAGCATGCCAATGGCTCTCGCGCACCTCTGTTCCCTCTCGACCTCCAATATACTCCAAGCCAACACGCGCCTTCCATGCTTCGACCCCGCGACAAGGTCCCGTCGCCGATGCCCTCTTGTACCTTCCCCACGAGCTGATGTCGCTCGTCCACGCCACCGTGCCATGGTATGCTGCCATACCCCTCACCGCCTTCCTTGTTCGCGGTCTTCTTGTCACTACAGCTGGAGCCTACTCGCGCGCCCTCATGGCACGGTATATTGGTCTCCATCCGCTCCGACAAGCGCTTGCTTTCCAGAAACGTGACGAGATACTAAAGCGTGGTAACTTCCGAACCATCAAGCAGGCCAAATTAACGGTGAAGAAAGAAGTAAATGACACGATATCGGCTTTGGACAAGAGGTGGAACGTCAGTCTACGTGGCCAAATTAGTTGGACATTGTTCCAATTTCCCATATTCATCGCTATGGCTGAGGTCATACGGCAGAAATGCGGCGCCCATGATGGTCTGATAGGTATGGCGGTTGCGGCCATTAATGGCCAAGGTGCAACCATGACGAACGAAGCCGGTGAAATTGTTAGACGTGTCACATCTACTGCATGGTTCGAGCCTTCGTTGGCAGCGGAAGGCATACTCTGGTTCCAGGATCTACTTGTTCCGGACCCCACGGGGGCTCTCCCATTCATCGCATCAGGCATTATGTTTGCAAACATCTATACTACGAAAAATACTGTCGAAAGCGACGGATCTCGGAGGTGGCCTGGTGTGCTTCGGAGGACTTTACTTTTTGTTTCTCTATTAATCGGCCCTTTGTGTCAAGAGCTTCCTGCGGCATTGATGCTGTACTGGTCATCAAGTACAGCTTCAGTCATGCTATGGAATCTCTGGCTGGATCGGAAATATCCTGCACCGCGAGGCTACACAGCATGTAAAAGGCCGCTTCTCATGCCGCCATCACCTGTGTCAGAAGGACGGAAGGTGCTTAAGCTGTCGCCACAAACACCCTATTCGCCGAAGTGAATCCTGGTGTGGCGCTTCATGCGCAGGACAGACGACTCAAGACATGTCTGGACCGGATTACTTAAAGTGGAGTCGTACGCATCCTGTTGCCTCGGGTAGTTTCCGCCGCCTTAGAGACGACTGTTGCACCATAGCCGTGACCGGACATGTTCGCAGCATTGTCTCCTTGACATCGAATTCAATTCGCTCGGCCACTTTGTCCAGAAATAAATCCAAGTACACGTCGAGTACAGTGTCAACCTATCTGTAGGAACTAGCTGCGAGACACGAATGACGATGCCAGTCGTGGGGTCGCCAACATGAACCATAAAGGCTTTTGGGTAGAACGTCGTTATCTTTGTGTTCATGTTGGTTTAGGCTGCTGGCAGTATCGCGTTATCTTGTCGATGCGGGCTGTTTGGCGATGGCGGCGGTGGTGATGATGATGACGATGCGGTAGCTGTGCCTTCTTGCTTGCCTCGCTCATGCTTTCCGAGGCTATACAGCGGTTCTAAGCGGCTAGGTCAGAAGGTTGGATAACCGAACTGCTCGCATGGGGCTGGCCAACTGCCGGAGCTGCAAATGGTGCAACGGCATCATCCTTCACCGTCCTGACGTTACCGGTATTGAGTGGGCGGCTTGGCTGCTCTTAGGCGGGAACTTTCTCCTGGTTCTTCTGGTCCCTAGGCGGCGTTGTTGAAGATGATGTAGCGACATCTAGAGAAAGCAGAGTAGGAAATACAAATACTCTCGGTGTCTTGAACTTGTCATGTTTGTTTCAAGATATCCTGTACACTATCTTAGGCAAGTGAAGGCTGTACAAGCAGTGGTGAGAAAAGGATCTATGGAGATCAAAGCTGTCTTAGGCAAAGTTGAGCTCTTTGCTGTAGTTCCACAAGAGTCAAAGTAACAGACCTGAGCTTCTTAGAAAGTATTTACACATGTGGGCAAGTTATGCACATTGAGATTTGCTTCTTCTTCCTAGAATCATGGTTGCATGCGCCATGTACTTCGTAATGATTGATGCGGGCAAAACGGAACGTATCTCCTGCGACCGACCGACCGTGCATTGTAGACATTAAGACGTGTCATATGTGCACCATATCATCCTACCAGAGGTTCAACCCACCGTCCAGCCGTTCATCCAGCCACTCCATCCCACCCCATAAGACCAAAGACAAGAAACGCCTACTATGCAGTAATGAACCTTGTTAACCATTCCAAACACCATGTCCGATATGCAATCCGATATGCCATCATAGTATGAAAAGAGTGAAATCCGGACAAACGCCGTCGCTAATGGTATGCAAATAGAAACATTCTCTGGCAAAAAACAAGCATAAAAGAAATCAGAAAAGCAAACGAATGCGTACGTGCGCTGCTACGCATCGACACAACCTATGCAGGTATAGACAATGTACATATCAATCCATTGCCATACGCAGTTGAGGCCAATGATAGACGGAAGCCGGTATATAGAGCTTATACATGTCAAACGCGACGACTTGTCTGACTGAGCAGGCGATCAGCTCGCTCGAAGACGTTGAGCGTGTTGGAACCCTGAGAAACGCGAGGGGTATTTGGGATAGTCGCTTGGGCTGCGGCTCCTAGAGCGGCGCTGAGTGGCGTCGCCGGGACTGGAGTGCCATAACCACCGGAGCCTTGCGAACCGAAGCTTGCCGTAGAGTACGGCTGTGCAGAGAAGACCGAAGCCATCGCAGGTATGGACGTATTGATGGGGCCTGGGAACGAAGGTCCACCGCTCGAAGACATGGTTCCGCTGGGCTGTTTCATAAACCTAGGTGGTTGGGTGCGTGAAGTGATGGACGACAGGCTCGGCGGACCCATTAGGCCGGGATTGTTACTGGTAAGATGCGACCAAGGACTGTCATTGATAGCCAAACTGGCCTCCTTTACCATCTTATGCAGTGGCCGCATAAGCTGTTTGATCTCGCCAGAGAGCAGCTTGTGTTCTCTACCCTGCTGAGTATACGCTGCAGCGAGTTCTTGCCAAGCCTGAAACAAATTTGAGTCAACGTACTGTTCTCAAAACTGCGATTCGAAACAAACATGGGTATACGTACCTTGATGAAACCCATGCATTGTTGCCAGAATTCGGGCTGGTTGCGGGTGTAGCTGTCCTTAAGCTGCATCTGTGATAGACGGCCAGCGAGGGGATTCGTCATTTGTTGGACATCATTGCTTTTGTCGATAAGATTCGCCAGCGCCTTCACTCGTGGATCCTCGGTGTCAAGATCACGTCGTAGACCATCAAATTGCTCTCGCATCATACGCGTAATCTGTGGCATGGAGTTTCTGCAGTTGTCGGATGCATTTCTCAGTTTCGTGTAGACCCGGTCAAATTGAGCATCTTCGTCTGCTTCGTCAAAACTGCTGGTCAGCGTGTTGGACCGTGTCATGGACGGAGCAAGTGTTGAGAATGACTCCCCCGAGCGCGGTGTTGCGGCACTAATGCTTGTCAGGGTGTTGGAACGACTATTGTCGTTGCTGTGCAAGATGACTGGTGGTGGCATCTGATAGCCGCCGTTTCGCTGTGGCGGCGATGTCTGGAAACGACGGTTCACTCTTGATGGGCGTGCCCGTACTGTAGCCACTGGGTCGACATTGCTAGGCCGGCGCGAAGCTACCGAAGTATCCTTGAACTGCGCACCCAAAATCGAACAGGCGTTCCTCATCTCGATCAGACTGGCTTGCTGCAGGAACAGGAAAGTCCGCATAATGTGTGCATTCGCATTCTGGGTTATCTCAACGCGATTCTCGGCGATTGAGAGACTGATGGACATGAAAGACTCGAGACATCTTAGAGCATACATGTATACGCTTCTAGAGAGCTTCTGTGCGTCTTCCTCGTCCTCTTCGACCAACCTGTCGAACTTGTGCAACACCTCGTTCAGCGCACGGATATTGAGGTAGGTGGTCGAGTATCTGCGATAAAAGTCTTCTTTACGGCGCAGACTTTCTTTCGTCTTAGCTGTCAATTTGATTGAGCGTACCATGTGTGAGACGCAGTCGTGCAGCTGGGATATGGCATAGAGGAAGTTTTTTGCAGCCTCGACGACAATGTCTGGCGCACGCGAGTTCCGCCGGTGTTCGCGCACATCAGATAGTGGGCGGTTTGCGAGAGATCTGACGGTACCAGTATCTCCATAAGCACCAGCGGTTGCTGGGCCTGATAGACCGTTGGCAGCAGAATGAGCAGGAACAACAATGCCCTGACTGAAGCCGCGGAAGTGACTTGTCCGCCGTAATTCGTCAACAGAACCCAGCTCCGATGTTTTGTTAGTGTATATGCCCATTCGCTTCTGGCGGTGTGACGAAGGTCCTGAGCCTTCACTTTGGCTTCGGTTACGCTCATTGCTTCCGTTTGTCAGGGCGAGGGGAGACACTGGGGGCCGCTTTGAAACGACGATGCCGGCGCCGTTTCCATTGCTCGTTGTAGATCCGACACGGTAGTGGGAACGAACTGGGATAGGTGGGACAGGCAAGCCAGGTGAGTCGGCCTTGGTGTCAGAGAAGCCATCGATGTTGCCTACACTGGGTCTCACGGGGAATCGTCCCCCGTTGGCTCGCTTGGACGGGCGGGGTGTCTCCGGGTTGCTTTCGGTCCAGCTCTCGTCACCAGAAGATTCGACGCGCAGCCTTTCCAGTTCGCTCCGCTGGCGCTCTTTTGAAATGTGTTGGCGCATGAAGCGCTTGACCTGGGTGGCTATGACGGCATCTCGCTCGTTCTCGTTGGCGGGTGAGGGGGCGTTGTCCTTGATGGTGCACACGTCTGGCGGGGGGAAGACCAGCGGATTGCCGTCTAGCTTAAGGACCTGCAAGCTGTTGATCTCGCCCAGGCAGACGGGCAATTCCTCAATCTTGTTCTTTGCGATTGCCAGCACCTTCAAAGAGGTCAAGTTTGAGATTTTGGACGGTATGGACCTGATCTTGTTCCTGCTCACGTCGAGGATCTCCAGCGAGGTCATGTCGAGGATCTAGGGTAGTGTCAGTGGAGGCTTGCTGTGCAGTGTGTTGCAGCGGGCCAACGTACGGCATTGGGGATCTCGCGCATGGCATTGTAGCGCACGTTGAGGTAGCGGAGACGTCTGCATTCGATAAGGCGGGACGGGAGAGTCGAGAGGAGATTGTGGGAAAGAGCGAGTCTGTCATGTCAGCATGTCTCTCCCACAGTCGAAGGCAGCGGAGGCAAGCGCGGGCGGCGGGTGCGTGTGTACCTTTCAATCTCGGCCCGGATGACATCGATGACCTCGTCCGGCAGGCGGGCAATGTTCTTGTGGCCCAGGTCAATCGTAATACCTGGCTGCTGTTGCTGCAATTCCCGGGGCGTCTCGGCGGCCGCACGATGGTTGATGTCCTGGCGGGAGTGCTCAAAGGCCGCCTTGGTGAGTGCCACCACCTCCTCGTCCGAGATGGGCGTGGGCACGTCGTTGCTCATGATGAGCGGACACGTACTGTGCGCGGCGAATCGATTATGGCCGTGGTTGTGGCATACATGCTGTTCGCGTGGACAGCGACAGTGCAACTCAACTAAGTAAGGAGCGCCCGTGGACCTGCGGTTGTTGGTGAATCCACTAGTCCGTCCCTGGCCCTAGCGCTGCTGGCCTGTCAGGTCCCGCCTCCAGTCGAAACATCAGCTCGGAGCCACTCCAACTCACCATCCTTGTCCCAACTAGCTGCTGATACGTCTTGCGCGCTTGAAACGCGTTTCGACTGCCCGCCTGCTTCGAGTGACGCCGAAAACCATGGCCGACAAAGTATCAACTCAGCCAAGGCACGTGATGGGCTCGACCGTTGGCCCAGTTGGCCAGTCTCCAACGGCCAAAACGGCCGAAAACCTTAGCCACCCGCGTAATCGACAGGTATCCTGCCGTCCGTCTCCGCATCTCATTCGGCCTCGATGGAGACGATGATGCTGTTTGCCCATTTCCACAAGACGGCTTACTGAAATCAACGACTTACAATCAGCGTCGCGTCTGTTGCATCTGCGCTAAAGCTCAACACCAAATCTCATCTGACATGTTGACGGATCTCATCGTGAACGCTATGCAAGGTACAGGCATTCTCCGATCCACGCTAACCCACGCCATAGGATTCTGGCAGCCCGTTCTGCGTCATGATTGATGTGCATTGGGTGGTTGGGCGGGCCCGACGTGCAAGCTGGTATCGGGGTATTTTCACATCCTATTTTCCTTTTTCCAGATGTCATGATACAACCTCACACAAACTGCCATGGACGTTGACGACGCCCTTCCGCCTGCCATCCGTCGCTCACCTAGGGCCGCTCTGGAAGCACAGAAGCAGTACAGGGACCACCGAACCTATGTTTTTGACGAGTCCGACGAGGATCTAGATGAAGCAGCCCCACCTCCAATAGCGCGCAGTCGATCTGCTTCGCTTGACGGTGAAGCCACAAGTCGTCCTGCCACTTCATCAGGTGTCAATCCGCTTCGGTCGCATCCAGTCGATGGGCCTCCGCCAAAGAATCCCGCTCGCCAGTTTTCTCGTCCGTTTCGAAGTCAGGAGGTGCAAGATGTACCGTCACCTGATCCGGATCCCCCACTTGAGCCGCCGTCTTCACGGCGACACCCACGCGGCCTCATATCATACAGAAACAACAAGAGAGAGATCAGCAACATCAAGCGATTTCCTCCGCATCTGCGACGACAGACTTCGTTGGAGACTATCAACTCAGTGACCACAACGGGAGACGATGATCAGAGCATCTATGGCCACGATCCGCCTGAAGCCGAGGCCCCTTCGCCAGATTGGTTTACCCTGGAAGATGATCCGCCTACCAACCCTCCACCAAGTATCATGTCTAAGCCGTCGTCGATGCACTCTTCAAGTGGAAGCTCGAGGCGAACGTCTACGCCCGTAGAAACGCCCTTGGAGTACGGGAGCCTTGATCATCATACACCGCAGTCGCTGTTTCGAAAAATGATGCCTCGAAGATTGACAGATAAGACGCCAGATCCTCCTCCGAGCCCTACTCGCCTGGTTATAGCAAAGTCGACCTCTGTTGATCGTACCTCCGCTCACATATCCAACTTTTCAAGATCAACGACTTCTCTATCGGAGGAGCAACGATCCATGCCAGAAGAACGCTCTCTACAGTCTATACTTGACAACGTCGAGCGAAGTCGATCTGGGTCAAAATCAAGCGGAAGCAGTAAATGGAGTGCAAGCGACTTCGACACGAGTACTTTGACTGAAGCTGAGCTCAAAAAGTGTCATAAGAAAGGCATTAATCCAGCCTTGTACGCTGAGATGCGAGCAGCCAAAAAGGGCAAATGGACTAGTCCCATAGCTGGCAATACCTTCCTATAGTGTTGACGGTCCGGACCTCCGTATCCCTCCACCAATACGTCCGATAGTCTGGGTAGGATCCCCGTAGGATCTCCCCCTTGCGTATCGGTAACACACAAGTCCAACCGCGACGTACTTGCTGCTTTTGCGATCACTACTGTAGTAGTGCGGGGCTTGAACTTCGTAGCGAGCATACTCCTTCGTATGGCTCGAAACTTTTATCATCTCAAATCTCGATGACCCAATCACACATGTCACGTTGGTCCTTCACTCCACTGCCCACGCCTCACTTACACACGAAACGAGCGCACTGCACCGTTACACCGAGACGCCCTGACACCGACGATCGGTAAATCACACGAAATACTGTCGTGTTCGGACATGGCTCTTTTCGACTCAGCCCTGGGGGATCCCGAACTCAATATTGATGCGTCGCGCTCGTGGGATGTGTTGTTGTAATCTCAGTCTACGGCGCACTGTGTTCTTCGAATTAAGTGCGCTCGCGTACTGGTTACATACCAGCTTTCGTACGTGTGGTTAGGCTTCCTACGTCACCGCTTTGTTTTCGAGCGCGTCCTCCGACTTCCTTCCCTCTCTTATGTCATTGGAATATGGAGTTGGACTCTTTGATTCATTGTGTTTCTCTTTCGTATACTCCAAGGGGTGCGCAACGGAAATTGGTAATGGTAACAAGCGATGGAGTTTCAGTTTTCTCACTGTGGAGCCCGTCGGCTAGTGGAAGCAGTATCATAAAACACGTAGACTGTTGGCGTATAGGCTGATGCACATGTCGAACCCAATGTCAATAAGCAATAAATCTCCTTGACGTAGTCCACCGCTACATCTATAACGCCAACGATATCTGCTTATCGACTGATATCTCAACTAGAAGCAACGATATCTACATACACTTTCTCCACTACGCTAACATAGATTTAAATCTCACCACCGTTGCCAGAAGATTCTCTTCCCCTCTCAAGTTTTGACTTGTTTGTTTCCTGAGTCCTTTGTAATTTCCTTCACCGCGCGTTGCATTCGGTAAGACTACCAATACCAGCAAGGACATGACCAAGAACGTGACTGTTAACGCTGTTCTCGCCACTGGTGAAGCGACCAGTACAAGCTCGTATGAAATCAGCGTTGACATCGATGAAGAAAGCGCAGTTAAGTTTGAAAAAGAAACAACCTTGAGCAATAGGCTTGATTGCATATGCTGACCAGTCAGTTGAAGACATATCGAACATGCAGGTGTACAAAGATCCATCCAAGAAACGTACCTTCAAGCCATCATCCATGGTTATGCTATCGCAAGAAAATTAGCCATGGGACCCCCTATGCCACAAGCTCGCTTGCGATGTGAAAGCTCCATTCTGTATGGAAATGCCGTTGATTATTCCCATTCCTGCAATAAAAACCGTTCCATAAATAACAACTCTTATTTGCATGATTCTGATTCAACGTCATCGAGGGAGTATCTTACTCCATAGGATTGGAATCAGATGAGAGAGCGTGATACTAGGAATCGAATTTTTCCACATGTCCCAGTCGCGATCTGTATCGAACGAATGACTTACTACTTATCAACACGAATTCGCACACTCAGGTAGAAGTAGCGATTTCAACACACAGATTCCCGATGACACTAACACATGCCCAACTTCTACCTTCCTTTTACAGCAATATGTCGTACATGATATCCCCAACAACCGACATGACGGCTCAGCAACAATAAGACCATGTTCCATCAGTCTTCGATAATCTCTATACCCAGTCCGTCGGGTTCGCGTAACCTAGAATTAGATTGGGTAAGGCATGTAGAGCAGCGTATTTCGTGTTTTCTGGGTAGTGCGGGTAAGCAGGATAGATTAAAGAACTATATTGGAAAGATGAGGCATGCGCCCAGCCGGCACCATGGCAGTCAACGGGCCGGATCGGTCAGTCAGTGGGTTCTGTATCTGCTGCAACGCGGAGACGGAGACGATTCATATTGCGTGCTTGCACGTGGTCTGAGTAAAGTGTACGTGGTATCGTGAGTTTACGTAGGACCGATAGCACATGGTGTTGATTTCCGTGGGTCTCATCATCGATCGGAGTGTCGGCCGATATTCCATGTGTACGGCAACCTTCCTACTGTAGACGTGGGAGCAGGCCCGATGGTCAAACTGTGCGGCGGAGTTTGATTGAATTGATTGCTCACTTTGGAAGGTCTAGAATTTTATGAGGTAAGGGAGGGAGCTCATCACTCTCTTACTGTGCCTGTGCTGGTATCCACATGTATCACAACTGCGATCGCGATCGCAACGGTGATCGTGATGCGGCATGGGGTTGATGCAGGTGCGGTGTATCGTGCCGCAATGTCTCTAGCCCTTTACATGGCATATACACATTATACGGCATGATGAATGCACTAACAACCCGTGTGTCCATTAGCTGGGTGGGGACTTGGAATTTGCATCATGTCGTTTTCTTTGATATGAGAAGTTTAGCGCAAACACGGAGGTCTCTACCGATCGTGAAGTTTAGTGGGGTCGGGAGTTGTCAGCAAAGACAATAGGTATTCGGAACACATCCCAAATGCTACACCGATGTACATACAAAGTAGGGGCCTGCAAGCCGGTAAGAGACCAACCATAGTGTATCGCTTATTAGGCTATGCTTAATTAATTCATATCGCCATCATCGATAACTGCAAGACGCTATCAATCGTAACCTCTCAACTCCGACCTGTCCTCCGATAAACCACCACACACACTCACCAAGATCAGCAAACTACGGCCATTGGGAAGCCCACTACTAACGGCAGTTGCCCCTTAGTGCCTCTCGTCACACACGATCGTGTCTTATGGCGCGTGCGATCAGCGGCGTGCTGCTTTTGGCCCTGCTTTGTCCCCTCACTAGTGTCGTGGTCCGCTGACACAGCTGTCCATCTTCACCTCAACGGGAAGGCGACGATCAGTGTGCGCTGCTTTTGCTCCGGCAGAAGACACTAATGGGAAAGAGGAATTGGCGGAACTCTGATGCTAACTCACTGTAGGCGGGTGGAAGAAGGAGTTGCATGCTTAGGCGGATCCTACATCCATTGGTCAGTGGCAGATTTGACCATTGAAACGTGCGATTCGGTGTTTTCGACGCAACATGGCGTAGGTCGTGGTTCAGCTGCGCCCCTAACGTCGTGCGGGGTCGGGAATGCTAAGACAAACTTCTTGCATCCACCCAGCTCCTCATCTTCCTATTTGCGAGGCGCTGCAAGGGACTTGCAAGCACCTCTGATTGCATATTACGTGAACAGCACCTGCGCAAGTCTGTAGCTTCGCACCGCCTACCGAGCGAAGATCAGTAACATTTTGGTGCCCCACGACGCTGCTGTTGTATCCTGAGATGATCGTCAACACTAGGCTGTCGATTACGATCCTAACGTCACTTGCGAATCTTGTGGCTTATCTTCAGCGAAACGCGACGGTTTTCTAGAAGGCTTCGAGAAGTTTTGCCACTGTGGTGTTTGCTTTTCGGTGAACCCCCCTCTCTTGGTATCTAGGTTGCATGTGTTCCATGCAGGTGCACGATGATGAGGAGAGATGAGGGGTAAGCTGCGCAAACCTGGTCAGGGACGTGGTTTACGTTGCACAAGCTTCGTCATCGTACCTGCGCGACTTTTTTTTCCCTTCGATGGTAATAGCTATGCAAATGCAAGGCTGGTTGTGTACTAGCAGTTAGCTTATACTGGGCCAAGTGGAGTGTTCACAATGTTCAGGTCCGTTGATACCTAGGTAGCAATAGTACCTGCACATTGACGTATCACAGCCTTGCTTTCTCTTCAACCTCCGCGGGGGTCGATCAAGCATCGGCAAACGGGTGTTGCCGTCGAGTGGTTAGTCGGCTCCTCTTGGTATCCCATAGTCAGGCTTGGAACATATTCGTCACTGGTAGGTTTGGACGGCGTGCTGGTGGCAAGTCCGTCTGCAATGCAATGGCCGCGCGGGAGGCTGTGCGCTGGGTACAAGTGCCGAGAAGCTTGGGTGGATAGGGAAGGAGGTCGGTGTTACTCACGGTAGAATGTGGGAATAAAGGAAGATGGTTGCGGGAATTGAATAGCCACGTATCGTGGATTGACATCTTGAATAAAATCGAGCAGATGCATGCAGTGCGTTGTCACTTTTAGTTACGATGGGCTGCGATGCTGCAACAGATGGGTTGATTGGAAATCGCACTGGATAATCATGTAGCCTACCTTGCGTCTTTCCTTCATGACTTGAAATACAGATCACATGCATCAACCACCGTGAAGAAAGCAGCTTTTGTAGCAATATCAGCAACACGCAAAGCTCCATGGTTCCAACCAAGGATTTGCACCGTGCGGTCTTGTGCTCCAAGCGTCGCAATTCAGCACACGCCAACATAACACAAGAACACAAATACCTTCTCCGAGCAACATCGTGATCGGACATGGAACCCCAGCAAGTATCGAGTCATTCTCTCCACCAGAGTTGGAGTGAAACATGTCACGCCTGAACATGGCCTCAAGGTACCATCTCTGAAACAAGTAGAGTTTACCCACCTGGAGAAGTAGAACCCTGGCCTGTAACCGCCGTAAGCGCTCAACAACACAACGTCCAGGCCACAATATAGCACATTACAAACCTCACCGATGCACCATTGAGACAACATCTAGAATCTAAAGTCATGCCGTATACATGTATCACTGCATCTCTACGTGGCACATTGGCTCATATTCACCAACGTCGTAATGGCGTTCGCGGTACCACGGAACAGCAATGCAATGCAAGGCAACTCCACGTGCAAAGTTGCCCAAGGCATGTCAAAGAATGGAAACGAAACAAGTCCAACCTCGTGGACGGAAGAGTTGTGCATGGTCTTCCTACCCACGCCACCACCAACATTACTCGGTTTCGCTTCCTTTGCGGCACAGTTGCTGGCAGTTGACACGAGAAAGGTGGAATAGACTTGGCAAGCAGTGACAATTGGGAGATGTGTTCTGGAAACGAACATGGTTTCCGCAGCCACGGGACATGGGCCATGGAATGGTATTGGGAATGTTAAACTGTATTTTGGGGTCGGCGGACGGGTGCTGGTGGCTCGGTTGCAAGTCTTTGGAGCTGGTAAGCTGGGGAGAGAGAGCCTGATCGGTGTGCTATGTATGTGATGTAGTGATTAGAGTTTGGATTCTATAGGATGGAGCGGGTGATGATGAGCAAGTTACGCCTTGGTTAGGGGTAGTTCGGAGCCGGAGTAGAACGCAACATGTGTGAAAATAGAACAGACGAGATTCTAGGTTCTATTACGGACGCCTAGGATGTCACATGAACCATGACATTTATCGTCAGCGGGAATCCATCTCAACAACTTGGCAAGGAACATGTTCACTCTTTCCTGTCTCACGAGCCCCAGATTTCACCACCCAACACACCGGTTTTTCCCTCTCACATGGCACATCCTTCTTCGCCCAGCTCCCCTCGCGCCGGGCACCTCGCTCGGGGACCAGCGCATCCCTTACCCAACCCGTGGCCACGGGAAGCACATCAATGGCGTAGCTGAAGGTAAGAGCACATCAAGGGCTTTCCTAACCTAGTAGTTAATTCGCCCGGGATTTCGGACACCGTCTCCAGCCCAACGGGTACAAGTAGGGGCGGGAAAGGATCCAAGGGATGCCGCCGAGTTGTATGCAAGTGGAAATGAGAATGGAGTCTTCCTGTCCTATGTGACCACCGACGGAAGTCCCAGTAACACGGAGGACATGGTGGATTGGGGATATCCCTTTCTCTTGTTCGCTTTCGCATAGGTTACGCGAGGATCTACATCAAGTCCCAGACGGGCGAAAAAGTTCCTATGCAAGGCATCGGATTGGAGGCGCTTCGAGTTCCAACTTGCTGGTAGGAAAGGAGGTCATCTGTCGATTTGTCATGGCTCGATGTAGAAGTCAAAACGTCACGTCCATGTTCCAGTGGGAACAAACTTTGTGTGTTGGTGACCAACATGGTAACAATCGTGATTCTAGCGTTTCGGACGCTTTGGTATCTACTCCAATCCACCCCCATCCATGCCTATGAACAGAAAAAGCCTTCCCACTGTTTTTTTGGGGGAAAAGTGAAAGGTAGCCATAATGATACACAGAAGAAAGTCAGAACCGTCCGCCCAAATAAGTCATTCGTGATATGCTCTTGATGATGAAGCAACGTCAAAGGTAACGCCTCGGCCTAGCCACGCCAAGTGGATATAGGAAGCGTGGCCAGGAAGTTTCCCAACGCCGTTTCGCAAAAATGTCTAGTAGTCTGAAGTTGAGAAGGGAAGTGAAAATGCCGAAAACAACCTCGCCGGGTCGTGTGAGCCAGTTGCGCCTTCGCATGCCCGTAGAAGTCGGGTGTGGAAATTCAGTTACGCCGGTGGTTATGCAGCCCAATATGCAAGGTTTAGGTGATGCAAATCGCTCTGATTGCATCGTCATGATCGTCTCTGCTTTTAAATGTGAAAATGTTGGTATGAGTGAAGAGGATGACGAGGTTGAATGGATGGCGGCTTAGAAGAGACCACCCTCAACAACACCTGGTTCGTCATCTCGGAGCTGGCTGCCGCTCTTCTTCTTGGGCCACAACTTGCTGCTTACTCGCTTCCAGCTATCCCTGGTGGCGTTGGCAAGACCGTTGTGCTCGCCCCGGCTGTTGCGAGGACTCGGGGTGCCACTGTTTGAGCCTGTGTCGTAGTAGGCTTGCTGGAAGTCGGCCATGGGGTAATCGCTCATGGGCGGGGTGCCAGGAGGTGTCAGTGGGTCGCTCATTCCCGACGGACTACTGGCGCTGCCAGAGTCGTCAGTCAATGCATCGCTGCCGCTGGTGTAGCCCGAGGTGATGCGGGTGGGTGCTTGACCGGAAGAGGTGGGCTGGGAGTGGAAGCGTGAATGCGAGAAGGGACGAGATGCCATGAAGCCGGAAGTGAGGGATGAGGGTGCCGATGCCCGTTGTTTCGCAGGCATGGGCGGCTGTGACGATCGGGAAAGGAGACTCCGCTCCTCGTAGCTGCGGGTCGATGAGCGAGAGATGTTACTGCCAGCGTAGCTCTCGTGGCTGGCGGGGTGAGCGCTCTGTGGGCTGACTGAGTTGAGGAACGAGACCAATACACTCTCCTCCATGAGCTCGTTGATCTTGGCCACGGCACTGTCTAACGATGATGGGTGGGGTGGGACGTAGGTGTCGGAGAGGCTGAGAAGTTGGTCGCGGACTTCAGCTGGGAGGTTGACCTGGGGCTGTGTTAGCGGCATGTCTTATTGGGGCAGAGTTGGTTTCTTGTGGACTCACTTCTCGTGGACCGGACTCGCGGATGTAAGCGTCAATGAGTCGACGCCAGAGCATGAGCACGTAGCCACACTCTTCAGACAAGGGCGAGATGGGAGTACCGGGATGGCGGTTGACCATCTTGGAGTAGTGCTTGCGGTAGCGGGAGGCGTCCATTGTGAATTCGAGGTTCTCAAGGCAGTGGTTCTGTGACAGGAAGGCCATGAAGGAGGTGAGGGTGTAGGGGGGCGGGGCGGTGTTGCTGAGTATCTCCTGGAGGTTTGGTTTGCGGCATTGGGGGCTCTGGATGTTCTTGGGTATTGAGACGGTCAATGGGGCGGGGGTGCAGTCGGACATGGCCATGTTGGCGTCGCGGGCATGCAGCGAGGCCAGCGAGGGCGTGGGCGAGGATGATGTCGACGACGACGAGTGCTGGGTCGAGTGTGTTGTGATGGACAGGGCGTGGGTGCCGGGCTTGCGTGCGACCATGACGCTCTTCCAGAAGTGCTTGTAGACACGGCGGGCGTTTTTCCTGCTCTGCTCGTCGAGGGCGTCACAGGAACAGAGTTGGAGTTGTTGCGCCAGCTTGGCGTTGGCGGCACTCGGTTCGGGCGAACCTAGTGGGTGTGGGAGTGGTGGAGGACAAGGCTATAAATCCGAGGGCAGCATCGAGCGTCTTCAGCGGCAGTGCTGGCGAGGGCGAGGGCGATGGGCGGGTATATAGAGGCGTTGGGTGGGTCGGCGGGCGGAGACTGGGTGGCAGCTGTGGGCTGTGACGAGTGCGTGGTGAGACAGAAAGGCCGATATGCGTCAGGACGTGGGTATGGACAGGTGCGGCTCAGCGTGGTTTTGAGCAAGCGGCAGTGGAGAGTCAGGGAGTCTTGGGTCAATGCTTGGGCGGAAAGCTCAGTCAGGACGCACACGCCAGGGCCCACCAGCGGTTTGGCCATCAAGAAGGATCGAGGGCCCATGGCTGAGGGCACCCAAACGCCGTTAAAGCGGCCAGTCGCTGCCGGTCTCTGATTGGCTGCCGGCGTCTTCTGGAAGACGCACGCCCGCATCGTCATCCTTGCCGAAACCGCCCCCTGGCGCACACTGCGCTGCCCTCTTTCGCCACCACAAAGCCCCTAGAGCGCTGCCTGCCTGTCGTGACAAACCGCGACTGCACAAATCATCACCGCCAGCCGCCGTCTGTCGTCGCTGTCCGAGCGAACGAGCGCACCACCAAAACCACTGCTGCTATCACCTCACCCACCTCGAGCCATTCCCATCTGGTTCCGACGCCCGGCACTAGTCTGCCTGCATAGATTACCATAGCCTCCCCCCAGCCTTGTGCGCCGCTCGGCCCTTTTTCTCTGATAAAGAAGCCCACACCCTTCTCCAGTTTCCCTTTGGAGACGCAATCGCGACTCTTGTTGTTCTTGTTCTGGTTCTTCTTCTTGTTCTTGTGCTCTTGCTGCTCATGGAATGTCCACAGGCAAGGCTTCCAGCGGGCTTCCGGCACCCGCCCACTAATCCACCCTATGACTCTCTGAGGAGACCTTCCTTTGTGATGCAGGCAATGTCGTCTATTGCTTGCTTTGTCACAATGCCTTGCGCAGCCCTCGGCAGCAACTTGTCGACAATGTCACCTTCTGCCGCGTGATGTGCGCGCGCAACGGCACTTGATCATGCCTTCCTCGCCAATCACGCCTGCACTGTCTTACACCAGCCGAGCCCGCACGGCCACACACTTGGCCCTGGCCCTACGCCTGGGGTCAAACTCGTCCTCCAATGCTCCCCTCAGCCAACCATGATCCACTTGGGATGCGCCGGCGCCTCTTCTAGCCTTCTAGCACGTCTCTAGCACTAATCTCTAGCAAACACCGTGCCAACAGACGTCTACACGCCATCTTTCTTTTGTGCTTTACATAGGATCTACGCAATCACCATCGCTGCTCTCCATGCACGTCTAAACTGCCTTTGTTATCCTCGTACTTGTTGTCGTCGTCGTCGTTGTCGTCGTCCTCGTCCTCGTTGCCAAGCCTGGAATGCTGACGTTCCACCAGCGCTACCACATGATCAGGCCACCCGTCTTCATCCCTGTTGCTTCGCCAATTCATTACCGTGCAACCGAAGAAATCTTCCAGAACGATTTCTCTCTTCTAGAATTTTGCCTAAACCATCTTAGTGCAGCCACAATTGCCTTGTCTGTCGATCCAGCATCGCTCCATCAACCTCCTGCATGGCCCAGCGTAACGCTTGCAACACTCCACCTTGAAGCCTTCTCTCGGACATGGCTCACCCATTCAATGTAGCGTTACATACTGTTGAGCTTCTTCCTCGGGCTTTCTCCAAGCGCCGACCCTGTTGTGCTTCGCAAAGCTGCCTCTGTGGCGCTTCTAGAAGGACTGCGCTGTCGTTGCAACACCGTCACTAGCCGGCTATCGACTCAGCACGCCCCTACGGTCAACCAAAATCAATCCGCACCGAAAATTTTGAGCCGCCAACAAAAAAAAGCTCGGAGCCTCAGGAACACAACATGACGCAGCCAGTGGGCCCCCCTCTGCTCGCGTATTCGATTGATTCACCCGCTTCACCGCTTCGTGGGGTTTCATTTTTTAGCCGCATCCCACGCCGGTCGGAGGGCCGCCATCCATGAAACCACATGCTAACTTGGCCGAGTCTCTCTTGTTCGAGCCTCAGCTATGTCGGAACGACATGTCTTCTCCTTGCATGGTGGCGTCCGTAATGTGCGGGTTTTTGCTTGTTAGAGCCCCAACGACCACGCCCTCGGGACCAGCTTCCCTACCAGGAGTCTGAACAAATCTTCACATACCAACCTGATGCTAGCACTGTTACATGGCTGCTAGCTGTCACGAGATTCATGGCATTTAGCCTTAGTTTCCATTCTTCGCACAGCATTGCCTGTCCACACTCCACATTGTGGTGTTGAGCTTGGACGCCAGCATTGATTACTTCGGAACCGGCCACCGGCCGCCGAAGAGACGCCAGGTATACATGAAACCGGACCGATGTGGATCGTAACCACTGTTTGAGCCATGCACTGATGTCTCTGCGCTGGCAAAGTGTGTGAGAGGGGAAAAAAAGAATAAAATGCTAAGAGACATGCTGGTGGTCATCAAACTGCTTCAAACATAGGGCCAGCCGTACATGCTGGTGCCGATCCCATGCGGCTGTGGGTGAGTCAACCTGCTGACGTCGTTACCGAGCACCGTTTGACCTGGATCCCAAGACAGCCTGCGACACGCGAGCGCTTCAATCGGGTTACCTGTCGTCCCCAACAAGATGGTCTTCTGGGTGCTCCCTTGGTCTCCTTCACGTCGTTCGTTTCACGGCTCTTGTGCAAGGCAGTTCATGTCCAAACCATCTCGTCATCCGACCTGTTGGACCCCAATCTGCAACCGTGTCCCGGCCCTTGTCTCCATCGCAGCTACATCTAGATCCCATCCCTTCCCCATCATCTCGTTCCCGTACTTGTCAAACATCACCCGGACGTCCTCCAACGTCTGCCTCAGCTCAGCAATCAGGCGATCCTTGGGCGGGGCTGATGCTGTATTGGGCTTGTTACCCGAGTGACCTTTGCCATCTCGGGCTCTCTTCGCAAGCAACAGTGCGTGCGCCCATGCTTTGAGCTGATCATTCGGTCCACACCCTGCCTTCAGTACGATTGAGATGTCGACTGCGGATGCGGCGGGACATGCTATGTATGCCTCGCTGGTGAAGACGGTAAGCAGTTCGGAGATTTGAATAGCGTGAAGCGCAAGTGAGCCAGTCTGCGTATTTTGCTCGCCCATTCGGCCTAGCATTTCCTGGAGAGATACGCCAATCTTACAATGCCCGAGCATTTCGTCGTCCGACCAGCGCAGTACGTCACCTCTGTGGAAGATCCTTTCGCGTTTGGAAACCTCGTTTGGGCTCAGGACGACACCGTGTTGAAGTATGCTGCTGAAGAGGATATTGGCTCGTTGTCTGTTAAGAGACCGCATACGGACGGCTTTCACCGCGGCATAGTTGGTGGCTAGGTGTACAGCCAGGAGGAAGAGGAGTGTGGTCCACGTCGCGAAAGGCGAGGTTATATGCGATACCACAAGGCTGCCTGCCTACATGGCCGTCAGTCAATGCACGAGTGGTGGAGGTTTTGGGGATACCCACGAGCATACCCAGTAGAGATATGACCGTCTCTTGGCTTGAGTCTTTCTAGGAACGAGTCAGTATCACCGTTCATCTGCACCCCACTTTCAGATAACGTCGATCAAAATATGTCTCAACTCTCTACCTTCGGGTCCGAAGATAACAATACGTCACTCACAGCATTGACCTCCCCCAGATTGCCCTTGCTCGCAAAGTGTGCGCTCAAGCTTGCCTTTGCACTGCCCGCACAGACTCCACACAGTGCCCTCAAGCAACTCGAAAAGCTCAACACCGCCACACGGATTGGTTTGTGAAAAGCGGGCGACAAGCAATCGAGCACCATTGCTGTATCGTTGAAAACGTCGGCGGCCAGGCGAAACATCTTACACTCTGGCTCAAGAGCCGTGCCGAGACGGTGCGCAAAGAGAATTGTAGCGATGCGGCCGGTTGACTCCTGGAGCACAGAGAGGAGGAGTGCGGAGGTCGGGGAGGCAGTCGAGTCACCTACGCCGACGCCTGTTTGTAGGTGTTAGACAGGCGAATGCATGGTTGTGTTGTTGCTGTTTAATCGTCATAGGGGTTCCGCTGTATCTGACGCCTGCAATGCATAATTTCCATATCTTGACCTCAATACGTGGAGACTTGTTGACCACGCACAACAGCAAACTCGCACAATGACTGAGAAGAAACAGATAAGGAACACACACTATAATGTGCATGGAAACATACCTTCCAACACAGCTCTCGATGCCAACAGCCCTGCAATCGAGGAAGAAAATGCCTGAAGCGAGTCCTGTGCCGTATTCTCTTATCAGCTTCTCACCCCATCATCACAACGCCAGCCATTGTCAGGATGGCAAAGGTCGCAATAGACTTACATAGATCTGGTAATGAATATAATCCTCCGTCACACTCTGCGGATACCCTGCTGGTAAGAAAACACCAAGAAGGCGTTGCGCATAGCTCTTCGCTTCTTTGGGATACTAAGATGAGGGGCGTGTTGCGTTAGCGAAATTGTTTGCTGGCCTTACTTTCATGGGTTGAACCATGACTTCGATCGATATTCCCAATCTAAGTTCTGAGGAGGAAGTTCAGATCGCAGAACCAAGCCTGATAGAGAAATGTGCATGCGACATACAATCACGTCAACCCTCGTTCCATGCGCCTCAGCAAGATACTCCAACACCAAGTTCCCCGCCTCGTCTCGCTCGGCAATCTCAAGCGCCATCGAGTTACGGGTCAGTGGTCTGAGAATGGTGTGAGCGCCGAGCAAACTCGTTGGATGTGTGGCTTGCGAACGATGTGCGCTAGTGGGAGGGGAGGTTGGAGAGGAGGGGCGGGCGAACGAACGTGTGGATCTCAGACCAAACACAACCCGATCGCACATCAATAGCTCCCCCCGCGATATCTTACATACCTTCTCCACTATCCAAAATCCTAATCTAACGTCTTTGCCTCCCTGATAGCATCTTGGAGTTTGCTCGCCGCTTTATCCGCCTATTCTCACAATCAAATACATATCTGTGCACGCAGCCACGTCTCGCTAGCCCCAGCCATAACTCATCTATTACAGAGTGATGCTTATTTGAAACCCTGTATTGCTACCTCAACAAAAATGCCAATGCAACGTACTTTGCTTCAGTCTACATAGCTTTACTGCAAAGAGGTAGCTAAGTCGTCTGCCTTGAGTGTTGATGCGTTGACTTCGTATGTCGGATATGTGGTCGTGTGATGCATGTAAGCATAGTCGCCCTCAGGGAAGGTACCGATTGGTAGACGCAGTTGGGAAGCTTAGGCAGGTAAGACTAAATGGGGTAGCAGGAGTGCTTTGGACGTACGTATCAACGTCGCCTACATGCATTGAACACCTGTCGACTAACTGCTTGTCATTGTCTCTCACTACTGTGTTTACCACAAGACACATGCTAACTCCATGCTGAAATCTTCTGCAATTTGCGTGAAACAAAAGCATTCCTTAGGCATGGCCTAACGTAAATACAGGGATAGGTATATCCTGGCGAAGGAGAAGTGCGGACAAGTGGAGGAACTAGGAGGTAGATCGAGCATGCTGCGAATGAACCTAGCATTTAAGCATAGGTTGTGACAATGAGTGACTGTAAAAAAAGGAAACGTGAGGTTATGAGACTGTGTCTTCGAGCAAAAAGGTAATATGATCATGACATACAGAGTTTCCAAATATTTGTAAGTAGTTCTTCACATTGAGACACAGCCCACAATATCCGAACGTCCTTGTGTAAAGAATTACTATTGCCTAGCAGGGCATGATCCATGAACGAAGTATATAAATACATTATCTAAGTGAAGAATCGTTGCTTGTTGTCACTGGCTCGATATTATGTACTCGAAGCACCAAAGGACTATTGTAAAACAGAAGAGAACTAGCAAACTTAAATGTCTGCTGGTAGCACAAGCGCTACCGTGTATCTGTCAAACGTTTTGCTACAGAATCACCTCCCAGCTAACAAAACATTACTTGGGGTATCTAACCTCATGTCCTCATATTACGTGCCAGTTACAGGTCCAATGAATTGCGCTCGAGATCTTATGCAGCACATGGCATGTAACCAGCCATGCCTTACGGCCCTTTCTCTGCTCCGCATAAAGTATGGTAGAGTTGAGAATGCATGCATATCCAGAATGTAGCTTACGGATCTGCACCCGCAGATCAAGTGCCTGGAAGACGTGAAACGCAGAACCCAACTTTTGATCGCCCTCTCTCTTCACAACACGACAAAACCAGCACTGCCGCTCAAGCGTCTCCATCCCCCCTTTTTTTGGTTGCTGTCCTCCCAAATCTCATTTTACCTCCCAATCTCTCCACCTCTTCAACCGCCGCGTCTCGTTGTCTCTCCAGCTCTTTGATATAGTCAATAGCAACCGCGAGCACCATACTCTTACTAGGTTTCACGGCACCTGTATCTCCGTTATCGCACTGTGGCAACATGGGCACCGCCCGACGTAACCGCTCTAGCTCTGCATTGAGCTTCTCGCGGTATTTGCGTTCGACTTCGGTGTGGGGCATGCATTGCGTACGGGTGATTTTGTTGACGGCGGCGGTAGTAGCAGAGGGTTCTGAGGCGGGGCGGTGCAAACGAGGACGGCCCCGCTTGCGTGGTGGAGGCGGCTTAAGGCTGGTATCTTCTGGAGAGGGGTGGTGCGTCGCGATTGGTGAGGGGGAAGTTGGGCTGCCGTGGCTAGGGGGAGTTGGCAAGGGAGAGGGGTTTGAGGCAAAGCCGCCGGGAAATCCGGATTCGGGATAGGTGTGTTGAAAGTCGGCTGGACAGCTCAGCGGCGAGGGGTTATAATTTGACCATGCGTTCTGAGGGGGGTTCGAGACTGCATTGGTTGTAGTGACGAGCGATGGGTTGTTGATATAGCTGCTGGGTACCGGTGCGCTCCAATTGAGATCTGAGTCTCCTGGTGTGATGGATCGGTCGAAGCATGAGCTACTCCTATCGTTGTAGCTATTGAAACCATAGTCCGAAAGCGCGGGATACGACTCAGTAAGGTATGCGTCGATTTCATCCGGTGATGGAAAAGCATCGCTGTTGGGAGAGTACAATGGGTTGCTCGCAGCCATGGAGAAGGCAGGTAGGTTAGAGAAGTCCATCTTGATGTGCCGCTGCCGCAGGGCCGTGTTGAACGCTTATTACTAGTCACTGAATTTTGGGCGATGTCATATGGAAGGTATATATCGAAGGACTATTCGTTTCTCTGACCCCCCTGTTCACAGACTTAGCTTGGTATCCTAGCTGGTGATCGCAGCCAGTGATCGGGTGAAAGCAGAATAATCGAACGATCAAAAGGCGATACACCGGCTTTTGCCAACTCCCAGACGATGCCGTAAGCTTGGTTAGGTATGCTGCGCCTAGAATCTTCGGAGCACCGGGCGGCCAGCAAAAATGGCGGAAACGCAACAACCTGTATCACACAAGACTTCAGCTGCAACCCAAACCATGTGACAAAAACGTTCTCATAGCCTCTCTTGCAGCTGCGATATCCGCCACCTGAAAGGCCAACTCTCAAGTAATCTTGCAGCGCCCAGCAAAATCATACGATCCGCGCTAGGGGTAGCGGTCTAGAAGGGTCGATTCAGTGCATTTGTAGTACGCGAAGCCCGTCTTCCGACGGTGTGAGACGAAGCCCTCGTTCCCATGTTGCAGAGTGCCGTGACGTTGACACAGATGCACGCTGAAGTTCGATACGCGGGGAGGGAAATTTTAGTGCCGGGCGAGTGTTCCTCGGCCAATCACGGCCAGCCACGGCCAGCCACGGCCAGCGAGCTGATATGCTAAACCCAATCACGTTTAGGCAGTGACATATCTGGTAATACTTCCCTCAGCACCTGGATCTATCCAGCATATGGTCATCGCCGACTGCTTTGTCGTTCCAGCAGCTTCCACTTGGTCTACCATGCCCTGGTGGCACGAATCTTGGCGTCAAACGGCTCGGTATATTCCGCTAATCGAGTGTCCACATGGCTGATTTGCAGCAAGGTCAAAAGATGGGAAATTGACTTCGAGAACCATCGACAATCGAGAATCGCGATGAAGCAGACATGGACTCGCTCAATCACTCAGCGAAAACGCCGCAGTGACGCCGTTAATATGTTCTGCGGTGAAGGTATGGGCTCATCTCGAAACACTCTTGATTTGAGACCTGAAAATGCTTCTTTTTTGCCGGGACCCCTATCACTTGTTGGCTCAGTCATCACACCAAGTACCTTTTGGGCGTTTGCGATCTCAGCTCGTCTTGAAGTGAGCAAGTATAAGCGGTAGACCGTTAGCCCCTGCCCTGTGTGGTACCTTTGCGCTAGCGCATTTCAATATGATGAAGTATAGTTTAGCTGAACATGCCCCTTGTCACCTGCCCTTCAGAATCCACGACTAGGAAGGCTTGCCTGGCCTGTCTCGGTTGAACAAGTTGAAGAGATCGTAGAGTCAATATACCGTCATCGTTCCACTAGTAAAAGCTGCTTCTACGCTAAGATAATATGGTGACATTCTATCACTCAGATCCACGAAATATCGCTAGTCCTTTGTAACAAAGACGTATGAAAGGCGCGTAAAGAGGGGGTTCGCCTGTGATAGTACAGTGCGGGTACTGTATCAAGCCAAGAGACCAATTAGACTATGACCCAAAAGGACACAGAATTCCGCTTGCAAAGCGGGGGGATCTCGAAATAGGAATCAAGATACGAACGTGATCAAGGGAGAGACATGTCTCATATTGACGCATCGAGAGCGTCATGCTAGCAATTTCATAAACCTAAACGCCTCCTGCCTTGAAGATATACCCAACGCTATCGAGCGTGTACTGTCTTACCCATCCTGTTCAACTTATCCTAGTATACACACGAATGCAATCCTCTCATCACGCCTGAAGATCTAGACCCAGCCTGTTTTGGAGCGTCAAAGACGGACATTCGCTCCGATCTTGCCACCTTGGAACCATATATCCTCTCGCCATTCGCCAATGCGAACACCCACGTTCGCGAAAGCGCTAAGTTTCAACTGCCCACCAAGTGCTCTCTTGATGGCTTGGTACCCAAGGCTACCGAATGACCAGTCGACGGGTAAGCGCGGAGATTCAGAAAGGCCAGGAGGCACAGCGAAAGGCAGATCGTAAACGATTTTTCCAGCTGTGTGACCTTCGTAATAGGCCGTCGCATCCATGCTAGTTATGTACATTGTTGTAGCGCGGAAAGGTGATGCAAGAGTGAAGACGGCTGTACTTGTGATGAGATGCATGGTAGTGCCACGGATGAAGTGGGACCTGCCATCATCTTCCGGGTCGTCGCAGTCATCACTATCACACGGCTTCTTGGGGGTTGACATGTGCGGCATAGGGCGTTCGATGGGAAATTGCGAGAGCAGGCGGCCAATGTAAGGGACAGACGGGACGGAATTTTCGTGTGCCTGGACAGTTATAGTGGTATTGTAACCTGTTGGGCGTATTAGTTCAGTTGATCGTGGTCATGGTTAACACTGACGTACCGGAGATATACTGAGACAGCAACTCTGCACCAATCTTCTTCCCTTTTTCACCACCATAGGTGTAAGGATCCCAAAGAACGGATGCAAGTTTGTTTGTGTTGTTACCGGGAGAAACTTCCATATCCTTGACCGTTGCGCTACCGATATGGGAGCCATTGGCCAGAATGTTAATGTTGAAGTAAGGAACCGTTGCGGAGTATTTCGAAGGATTAGTAAAGTTGACCAGGGCAGTGATTGTAAGAGAAGTAGGCGAGGTGTCGGTGATGGACAAATTGCCGACCTGCACGTTGATTTTGCTTGCCTCGTCTTTACCATCGCCGGGCTGGGTGTCTTTGCCGTGACCAATTGCTGGACGCCAAAAGTTAGCTATGTGCAGGAGATGCGGCCAAACTTGGATCACGAACTGGTTACGAACGTTTGACTGGTACGACACCTTGCGCCGGAATTCCTCGCACAGCGAGCTTGCCCATGGGCGTATCCACACCAATGCTGACTGCGGCCTTGAGATCCATCAAAACCGATTTGCCGCCGAAAAGTAGAGCTTGCACGACTTCACTGAAGAGGTTGTCATCCAGAATTTCGATGGGTGCGTTCTTGATGACAGATTGGACGAGGAGAGACGGTCCGTCTGAGCCATGACCTTCGATACGGGTGGAGTTTGCCTTTTGCCACTTTTCTAGGTTCATCTTTCCAAGTTTCTTCTTATGGTAGTAGATGTCAGCATCGGCTTTGACCTGGGTGACATCAACGGGGAAGTTCATCTCGTGTGGCAGGCCAATATCGACGTTGACAATGCCGGAGATCTTGGGACGAGCTTCAGGCGTGCCAGGTTCAGCGAATGGGTTGGGCAGACTGAAGTGCATGTCGGCCAGAGAGAAGTTTTTGATCATGTTTCCCATGGACTTTCCGGCGAAGGGAACTGGAACGGTAATGTCCTTTAGTAGCTCACGAGCCCAGTCGGGTGTGGCAGGGTCAGGGAATTTGCAGCAGTTGATGTAGATTGTCGCGTCCTGGCCCTTCATGTAATCGCCCAAGAAAGCGTCAAGCGGAGACTTGGCTGAGTTGGGGCATACTTGGGTCAATGGATCTGAGAGCTTGTCGACATTGCCCGTAACATCGACTTTGACATTTGAATTTGGCTTGATGTCGAGTTTGCCAGTCTGAGCAGTTCCCACCATGATGTGCTTGTCGGATGATGAGCAGCCCTCGATACCAACATCGACAGCTACAGGAGGCAGCGTGAGCTGGACAGGGAAGTCGTTCTGTACGACGATGGAGGCGTCGGCACCAAGCCCCTTCTGACCATGCTTAGCCTCACCAAGGTTGAGCTTTGTAATATTGTAGTGAGGAAGGGTTGGAATGTCGCCTCCCTGGAAGACGATAGATTGCTCAACGAGCTGCTTGCCAATATTGATCAATCCCGACTTCAACGGGACTTGGGCCTTGGCCTTGAGCCTTATCTGCCCTAGTCGGCCATCGATCCAGTCGTTGGCGACATTACGAATACCGTCGGGCGAACCGGGTTGTACAGTTGCAACAAAGGAAACACGTGTGGTGTGTCCATTCCGGATGTTCACTTTCACTCCGGGTATCTTGGCCGTGCCGATCAAGACGTTGCCATACTCGGGCAGGTAGACGTCGGCATCGAAGGGCCCAGTCTCAGCCTCGTGGGCGATCCACGTGCCGAAGCGGCCGAGATTGCGCACGCTCTGCTTCTTCACTTTGCTCGCGTTCATGGTGAAGTCTCCTTGTATGTGCACCTTGGCACCATGGTCGGTCAATCCGTCCATGGAGAGCTTGGTAGGCTTGAAGTCAGCGGCCTGCATGGAGTACTCCTCGATGCTTTCCTTGGCTAGGAAGCCGAGCATGATGAAGATGACGAGCAGACACAGCAAGACGAGAGCCAGTATGCTCGGCCATCGCTTCCTCCATAGCGCGACTTTGCCACTGCCACTCTTGTCGGAGCCGCCACTCAAGGAGCGCAGCAACGAACGTGTCGCGGGAGTGCTCTCGTCTTCATCATCTGGTCTTTGGTGCTCGTCTCGGTCTTCCTGTGAAAGCAGCGGCGTCTGCTCAGTGGTTCGGCTGGATTGCTGGGAGCGGGCTGAGCGCGACGAGCGGGCGGACTTGTGCGAGACGGGTCGCGAACTAGGCGTGCGGGTGTCGTTGGCGCTGGAGCCCCACTGCTGCTCAGCGTTGTCCTCCTCCATCTTCAGGCGTAGGGGGGTCCAGGCGACGGACATGACGGGCGGGGTGCTGGTGCCGGTCGGGGTCGGGGCGAGAGGAAAGAAGAAGGACTGGGAGCTGGTTGAGGTTGGTTGACGTTGTCCATCTCGTCATGAACTCAGCCACTCGCTGGGCGCCGGATAAGAGCCCAGGAGCGACGTGTGCCCGTGCCTGCCGCGGCCGCTAGCCCCGACCCCAGCATCTCCACCCACATGCGTCACGTCCTAGTGCGGCTTAACAGACAATAATTCACAAGAGTCACAACACGCCCTGTGACTCAATTCACCGTCGCTGTGACTATATCACGCCTCTGCGTCGCTCCATCTAGCTCCACACACGCAATTGACGCACCATGCCCGCTTTCCGCCCCTCCCCCGCCGCTCTACGAAGCTTGCGCCGCTGCTACTCTACTTCACCAGCTGCACCTCCGACATCGCCATTCGCGCCGCGCCATCTCCTGTCCATAGCAGATCTCACGCCCGCCGAGCTGACTACACTCGTCCAAAATGCGCACCAACACAAGACGGCCATCAAGCAGACGGGAGAGGTGCCGCATTCGATGCGCGGGGCACTCGCAGGCAAGACCGTCGCAATGACCTTCAGCAAACGGAGTACCCGCACAAGGGTGTCGACCGAAGGCGCCATCGCGGCTTTTGGAGGCTCACCCATGTTCCTAGGCAAGGACGACATACAGCTGGGTGTATGGCAGAGCCTGCTACTTGCACCTTACCTGCTGACGCGACAATTCTAGGTCAACGAATCCCTCTACGACACTTCGCTCGTCCTCTCCAGCATGACCGCCGCAATCGTAGCCCGCGTAGGTCCTCACTCTGACGTCGCCGACCTCGCCAAGCACTCGAGCGTCCCCGTCATAAACGCCCTCTCCGACCTCTACCACCCCCTCCAGATCATCGCCGACTTGCTGACCATGGCCGAAATATACCCTTCCACATCCTCTACCTCTCTCGGCCTAGAGGGTCTGAAGATTGCATGGATAGGAGATGCGAACAATGTCCTTTTTGATCTAGCCATTGGTGCAACAAAGCTAGGCATCGATATCGCCGTCGCAACCCCCGCTGGCTACGAGATTCCCAAGGCCATGCGTGAAGTCATCTCCCATGCCGCGCAAACGTCTCCCCACCCAGGCAAACTCTTCGAAACCAACACGCCCGAAGAAGCCATCAAGAATGCAGATATCCTCGTGACAGACACTTGGGTATCCATGGGCCAGGAAGAGGAGACTGCCAAGCGCCTCAAAGCCTTCTCCGGCTTCCAGATCACCTCTGAACTGGCGAAACGTGGCGGCGCCAAGGACAACTGGAGCTTCATGCATTGCCTACCCAGGCATCCCGAGGAGGTTGCTGATGAGGTCTTTTACGGGCCGAGGAGTGTCGTGTTCAAGGAGGCAGAGAACAGGTTATGGGCAGCCATTTCTGCGCTGGAAGCCTTCGTTGTGAACAAGGGAAACATTCAGTGACTAGATCCATGGTTCGAATGAACAAAGCTTCTTGATATCTATGATGAATCCATACCAAGCGATTGCATCAGCTAGCCGAGACACCCTACGGATTACTCTCTTTTCTTCTCGTCTTTACCGTCCTTTCCATCTTCACTGCCCTCTTCATTGCCGTTTCTGTCTTTCAATCCTTCTACACCCTTTCCCCAAGCCCCAGCCTTCTTGCCCCACGTCATCATACCCCAGGCATGTGTCCAGCTGAATTTGGGCGGAGCATCAGGATGTGTGCGGAAGGGACTTGCACCATGCTTGAACATGTCCTCCATCTCCTTCTGACGGTCCTTTTCAACTTCGTCTTTGGACAAAATCTTTGTGTTAGGCGGAAGTGACTCCGGCGACGGCGCTGGACAAGGTTTTGACGTAACAGAAGCCCTTTCCCAGTGTCTTGATTCAAGAGGAAGAGGCCTCCACCATGGCGTCGCCTCGTCAGCCGCAGCAGAAAAGCGATCCCACCACCTCCCTGAACACATTTCCCAAATCCGACTTTCCGCCCTCTTGACAGCAAACTTCTCATCTTCACCTGTCAAACCCCCTATATTAGCAAAGTCGGGAGACCCAGGACCAAATTTCCGCTCGTCTGTGAAAGAAGTTCCTGCCTGGCGGGAGCGATTTGGTGGATCATCTTCTAGTGCGTCTTCGGATAGACTATCGCCAGAATAGGACGAGATGTTCGGTCTGAAGGGTGAATTGAGATCTTGGTAAATCTCTGAATATGTCTCTGGGTATACGGCGTCATTGTCTAGTGTCTCTTGTCCTGGTTCCGCCGTAGATGGTCGGGATGGAAAGAAAATTCCATCGGGACCTGCAGCCGCCGTCATCATCAATCTACATCTTGCTTCGTACATGGCGTCGAGCAAAGTGATGAGCCGTCTTGCTTCGCTCTTCATCAGTAAGCCCATGACAGGTACATCGGTGACGATGAAGGTATGGTATGTAGATGCTAAAGTGATGTAGTCTGCTGGACCTAAGACTGCGCCGCAGAGCTCAGCAAAAGTGAAGAATGCCACACCATTATACTGAGCAGGAATCTCGAGGGGCCGGTTGTAGACCGTGAGGGTCGCGGGCTCCCAAGGGACCGGGTATTCGCGATTCGTTGCGCGCTCGACGAGAGAGTTGAAAGATTCGCCAAACTCTATCATCGTCTCTGTAGTGATGGGCTGAATGAGGTAGTTCTTTGGAAGAAAAGATGAAGTCTCCATGGCTTCGGGGGCTGTATCTCGCGGTGCACTGGAAGGATCTGTAGTACCCATTGCCTCGACTGTCGAGGTTGCAGTGGCGTTGGCAGCAACGGTTTCGGATGCTGGCATCTGCACACTATCTCTTCTCCCCTCCTGTTCTTCGCTTTCAATCTTCCGATAATCTTTCTTCCCTTCCATTTCCCAAACTTCGCATCTCGCCCTAAGCACCTCCAAGAACGCGGCGAACTCTCCCATCTGGCCAGCCCCATCATCTCTCCTCGTATACGAGCTCTTGCTCATACTCCATCCTAACCGGCTAAGGCGAGTAACAGGACGCGAAAACTCCATACCCGCGGCTTTGGCCAACTCTTCTGGCATGCGGTTGCTGGTCGCAATGAGTACGCCACCAAGCTGGAAGAACGACGTCATGAGATTGGACAGAATCTTGCTAGCAGCGCGATCTGGCAATTGAAACTCATCCAAGAAGAGGATGGGAGACTTCTCGATAAGGTCGCGTGCCACGAGAAGTAGAGAATACTCATCGTGAGCGGTCCCAGGTCCTGCCACTAGTGATCTCGACATTCGCAGTTGCTCCAGACGCGAGATGGTATCGAGCATGAAGGTATTGAAGTGCCATCGCCGCTTCTTGCGGTTTGGTAGACAATCTTGGAAGAGATCTATCAGCATACTCTTTCCGGTACCAACTTCGCCGTGGAGCATGAGGCCTTTGGGACTTTGCAGTTGCATGGCCTCATCGTGGCTAGTCAGAACACGTGTCAATGCTTTGGAGTCTCTTTGGTCTTTTTGCGCAAGTAAAGACGTCCACACGCCCCTTCTACCGAAGCGGTTGACGTGTGAGTCTGTTGATGATGACGATGCATCTTGGCCCGCATCGACAGCTCGTGTAAGTTGTTGAAGCCTCTTGGAGTATTCTACAGTCGGTTCATAGTCGATCAACCTGTCATAGAGCTTCTGTAAATGTAATGCTGCGTTCAGTTTTAGTACATGCTCGACGCTAGTGTTGTCTAAATGGTAGACGTCATACCGAGACGATGCTGAGCTGGATCAGGTCGGATCTTCTGTGTAGCAATGAGACTGCGATAGAGCACCAAAGGGTTGGTGATCGTAACACCGGTGGAAGGCATTGGTAGTCATTGGTTGAAGAAACGAAAGTCTATGTGGCAGGATATTTGAAGTCGACATGGCCGAGGTGATCTGCCCCGACTTTCGACTAGACTGCAATCGGCGCTAGCGCTTTTTGGGAAGTGCCGATGGATGGGCAGGCAACGCGCCATCAAAAGAGGCGAGGTTGAGAAACAGAACAATTATCCCAATAATTGCTATCAACGCCGGCAAGATGCAACATGGTATCGCGCTTAGAGTACAGTTCAATCAAATGCTTGTAACGCCGGGAGACCACGCATCGGCTATCTTTTTGACCTCTTGGATGAACTTGCGACTTGTGATCTGTGTCGAACCAATCCTATGTTCGGCATTTGCTGTAACTGGGGAGTGCTCATCTGGATCGTAGAACCTACACAGTAGAACCAGAAATTAGTATGCGTCTTGTTCGCACATGGTCCTGGATCGTCTTACGGGTTCCTCAATAGCTTGATGTAAGCTGTCTGCAACGCCCTGAAAGCCTGATGGATATTAGAGATTGCCCGAGATATAGAGCTTTGATCGTACAGGTTTCATGTCCGCATCTCGTAGCCCAACAGCAGTCGCGGTCTTGCTGTCGAGAGCTGTAGCTGGCCTGCCTTCCATGTCGACAACGATGACGAACTTGACTCCGGTGTTGGTGAGCCAGCCATACATTGCTAACCTCTCGTCTACAGCTTGAAGAAGTCCAAAATCCTGGTCTGCTGTTTTGTGCGGTAGACGAGCTTCGAAGATATCCAGACATGAGGAAAGAAGGAACTGGAACTCTAGTGGTGCCCTCTCCTCAGCCGGAAAGAGAGAGATATGCAGTGGATTATTCTGTAACAATGGTCAACTCTATCTAGATTGAAATCGTACACCAGGTGTACTGACGTGCTTGCCAATTACGCCTATACAAGCGATAGAGGGGACCTGAGGACAGTCGTCAGCTCATACTGTAAGTCCTGGAAACTTACGCCCCTTACCCGGCCTGACATTCTGTATACGATATCACCGGTTTAGACAGATCTGGTGGATCTGGGACGTGTATGCGGAGTAGTCTGGCCGACGTAGACCGAAAGGGTGATGGAGGGAGGCGCGATCGCCGCCTAACCTATCAGATGGCACCAAAATCGACGACTAATCGATTTCCGCCAAGCATTTTGCTGCACCTACCTCATCGATGAACTTCGCGACTCCTCGACCGCCACCCCACATCTTGCCTCTCCACTCCTTCACTTACGCCCTTCCTTCCTGTTCGTCGCAATAATGTTTTCGACAACAAGGTCTGCGGCCTCAATGGCTCTACGAGGTGTGTCCCCGCCACCCCGAAAGCTCGCAGTCTCCCGGAACTAATAACATGGGCAGCCAAACCCGCGACGGCACTGATGCCATTCCGCGCCGGAAGCGCTGCTTTCCTCTCCTCGAGCTCTTCGGACAGGGCTACGACTATGAAAACGCCCGCAACTATCCCCGGCAACCCTGGGACGCCACCCCCGATGAAGTCCGCGCGAGTAGAGGTGCCATTGCCGAGTCAGGAGGGAAAGAAGGGGGCTATGCAATACGCATTGTATGTCATGACTTGCCACCTTTTTTGGGGGGGGGGGGAAAGAGACGAGGGCGACGGGAAGGAATGACTGCAGGGGCATACGCTAACGTGCGATAATAGGACGACACTCGACCAAGTAGCCAACTGGGCCCGTCAGAGTTCCCTATGGCCCATGACTTTCGGTCTCGCATGCTGCGCCGTCGAGATGATGCACTTGTCCACCCCACGATACGATCAGGATCGTCTCGGTATCATTTTCCGTGCCTCGCCCCGACAGTCCGATGTCATGATCGTAGCTGGAACCCTCACAAACAAGATGGCGCCCGCGCTGCGACAGGTCTACGACCAGATGCCTGACCCCCGGTGGGTTATTTCCATGGGCAGCTGCGCAAACGGAGGAGGATACTACCACTACAGCTACTCGGTCACAAGAGGATGTGACAGGATTGTACCAGTAGACATCTACGTGCCTGGATGCCCTCCCACTGCCGAGGCGCTCATGTACGGAATCTTCCAGCTGCAGAAGAAGATGAGGCATACCAAGATCACCAGGATGTGGTACAGGAAGTAGAGGGTATGGGTTTGTGTGGTCTATTTTGATGGTCGTTTTATCTGCGAGTTTGAGGGAGCAGATTCCTCTTGTACAAATCGATCTTCTATATGCATAGTCTATATCAAGTCTAAGGTGTCATGGTGGTGTTACGCCGTTTTGCCAAGTCCAAACATCTTGACCGAATTCTTCCAAGCACTAGACATCTGTCAGCTCCTTCTCATCGCCTGTGTTGAGACAAAAAGTGGTGGACTCACGCGTCGCAGACCTCCTCCACGGTAACTTCCTTGATCTTTGCAATCGCATATGCCACGTGTGGTATTGTAGCCGGCTCGTTGCGGCCCTTGACCATCATACCTTTGGCGAACTTCTCCTTCTTGACCGCCTTGGGTAACGGAGGCGCGTCTTGCAAATACTTGGCTGATGCATGACTGGGTCGCATCTCGCACCATGGACCGTCAGTCTCAATCTGCAGGCGCTCAAGCGGTATTTGTTTAACCACCGCGATATTCTCGTCAGCTAAGCAACTGAGTTAGTGCTATATTATGTAGATAAGTGTATAGTATCGGTAACTAAAGCAGTAATGGCTATGGAGTACTTACTTTTCATGCTGCATCCGTTGACTCCAATGTCAAAACCCAAGCCAACAAGACGCTGCATCTCCTCGGCTGTGCCAGTAAAGCTATGAACCAAACCTCGTTTCGGCAGTTGATCCAGTTTCGCGGTCAAGAGCTTCTCAAAGTCTTCGCTCGCGGCTCGCGAATGTAAAAACAGTGGTAGCTGGACCTCAATTGCAATCGCCAGCTGTGCCTCAAAGTACTTCAACTGCGGCTCCTTTGGCGTTAGAAACAGGCGGTCATAATCAAGACCTATCTCTCCAAAAGCAACTGCATATCCTGCTTCCTTGGCCTCAAGCGCAAGGGTTTTCAGCGCAGAGAGCAGTTCAGACGAGCCTCCAGGGTGCGTGTCGAACTGTTTTGCTGAGCAAGGATGTACACCAATCGTTGCATAGCACAGCCCTGGGTGCGCTTTCGCTATTTCGACAGCATGTTTGGATTCCTCGAGATCGGAACCTGTTACCATGAACTTCTTGCATCCAGCATCGACGGCTCGCTGTATGACGTCTTCGAAATCATCTTCGTGACGCTTAGTGCCGTGATATTCACCACGGTATATCGGATCCGTGAAGTTGATACCGATCTAGGGCAGGTTAGACGTAGGATGTGGCGGGAAAGTGAGATGCGAACCAACATCGATGTACTTGAGTTGAGGGGCTTCCGTCGTCATCTTGATGGTTTCGGAGGGTTTTTGATATGTAAAGGAGGTACTGTCTGATATTGATGTCGGTCTTGTAAGCATCTCGAGGTCAGTAAAGAATTAGAGTAATGACGCACGTGTAAAATTGCTCAACAGGGGTGGGATGAAGCTAGAAGGACGCAGTATAGGACATCGACTCGAGGTATGAACTGAAGCACGATATCTCAAGGCTTGCATGGGCTTCAGTAACATGAATGAAACTGGTAGATGGAATATGATGCTCACTGGTTGATCGTTGCTACCTCAAGCATATGTGACTAAGCCGTTTTAGGTTTAGGTTCGATGCTGGCATCTCTCGCACAGCCACTCTCTTTCACGACTGCATCTCTTTGCGCATCCAGTCATCACTGTAAATCAGGGCAGCATCTTGTATCAATACTGAACGGTCATCCGGGGACATCCACGTAGGAGGCGAACCAACAAGGCAAGGCTTAGTCTCGTGAGTAGCCAGCTGCACTCGGCGTCACTCGAGACGATTTCGTGCACTTGCGCGCTTTCTTAGGTGTTGTGTAAAGCACCTGTGAACGCAATCGATACAACAATGGAGAATTTATGGCATCTTCGTCGCGTGGCGGATAACGCTGCAAAGGCCTGTTGGATATGCTACAAGCCATCTACCAGTGTACTTATTACCCCTAGCAACAAGGTATGGAGGATTGACCTGATAGGCTGTAACACTCTGTGCTAATTCGCTAAAAGGATTTCTTTTACATCTGTCCTGGGCACTTATCTGACAAAGGCTTTTGTCAACCAGAAGCTGATGAAGCAAAGAGGATCGCAGACCAGAAGAAGCAAGATGAGCTGGATCGCGAGATTGAGGCTGTAAAAAAAGAATACGAGGAGAAGCAGAAGCTCAAGCGTGAGAAGCGAAAAGGAAAAGATAAGGACAAGGATAAAGAGAAAGAGAAGGAGACCAAGGGCAAAGAAGAGGAAGAGGACAAACAGGACGAGAAGGCCAAAGATGACAAAGCATGTAGCATATGGTATACCTTGCTGGCTAGGCTAACTTAAATGTAGATCAAAGAGCTCTCGAAGACCAAAGATCAAAATCTGGCTGAGCTTGGTCCTCGCATATATCAGCTCAACAAGTAAGGCCACTCCTACAAACTCCTTATTTGAGTTAGGCATGTTGACTTTGCACAGGAACTTCTATCAAATGCGCCTGGACAAGCTGCGGAATGCTGAGATTGCTAAACGAAACCGCGAACGACTGAACAACCCTGCAAACTTTCCGTCAGTACCTAGCGGGAATCCGTAGGCGCATGACATGTCCCAACATCGACAACGGTTGTACTATAGTAGCCATGGACCAGTGACTGCTCCCGTCACTCCAAGGGCTTCCTCTTCTTCCCTCACCTAGAAGCAGGCGGCAATTACTTAGGCGAGCGGTAACGGGACTTACGACCGCCGACTATACATCCTTCGAAAACAACGCGGTCAGCATTTAGCGGCCGGTTCAAAGCCCATGCTTACCGAATGTCATACGTGTCACACATGGCCATCCTGTTTATAGTTATGTCCGAACTAAGTCCTAGGCACTTTGGTACCCTTTGACAAAGGACATCGTTCACTAACATCCTGACCGACATGTTCGAATGCCTTGATCCGCTAAATGAATATTCCTCTCGCTAAGTGCACTCAAATTCTGCAGACATGCTCGTAGAATTCACCTGAGGACATCTTGCTTGTGTAAACTGTTGCGGGAGTGGCTTGGAAGCTTATATTACTGCAGCAGTTCCCCTACCGATCCACAGGTCTGTGTTATGCAAGACCATATGGTCGATTTCAACTTTCCCTATTCGGACTGGAAACCTTTTGTAATCCGTTTTGAACAAGGCCTCAAGGACGGATTAGGCCATATGGCTGTTGCATTCGGTATGATTGTGAGTGAGTCATTTGGTGGACTACCCGGTTGGCCTATTACGGCCGTAGTCGTTCTCACCTGCGGGGTTCTGAGCACCTTAGTCTGTCCCAGCGTTACTAACAGGATATGTAGCAAGCTGCGGTACTTCGCAAGTTTGGTGCAGCAGTGAGCCATTGGCCATCTTGACCGTCTCCGAGATCGGCCTTTGCTGGAATAAGTACGGATATATCGCTGCATCGCTAAGCAGGCTTGGCCAAGGATACTCTGTGCCGCAATCGATGACTCAGAAGATAACTTCACCCTAGTGACAGTGTGAATGCTCTCTACGGAATGGACTGGAATAGGTCCACACCTCGTTGCTCAACATCGTAGCGCATCCTACCTTCTCGCCCTCTCGCTTATCTCCACATACCATTTGTCACTATATCGCACATACTGAGTCATCCCATACGCGTGCCAACGACATCGATAAGCATCTTGGCAACGTACTATCTAAGGAAAGATGCCCTTTCAACAACGGTCACTGTACCAAGGATCGCAGCAGGCTGATGACTTGGGTGCACATGCAACCAGGAAAATGCCCAACAGTACGTCTTTCGAAGGGAAGGGATTTCTACAGAGGCTTACAGTCATCTGTGATCTTCCAACGTACTAAGCTTCCGAAGCGCTGATGCTGTTCATGCTTGATACTTGCAGCCAGACATCGATGCTCTTCTGTGGATCTGTCACCACACCATTTGACCTTTTCATATCTACCACTGAGTCGATATCTAATCTCTCCGCACTACCTGTAGCTCGACGCTCATACAGCGGCACAGGCCGTCTAGCGGCCGCCACTAAATCCGCCCTACGACCAGTCTGCTCCTCGTGATGCTGATGGTCAGCATTCTCGGGTAATCAGGCGAACAACACGTCAAACCTTGTTCCGAAGGACCGACTAAACAGCAAGCCTCGCTACAGACCTGGGCGCGTCAGCATCGTCCCGCGCATGTACACGGACACCGCGACACATAATGTCACTTACCGCATCACATGCATGCAAGCGGCTTCACATCTCCGCTCCATAACCTAGTTGACTTGACATATCGTGTATACTGTAATCGCTTACATGTCCCCGCATGTATGATCATAACAGCGCACCTTCTAATTGTAGCATAGTTAGTTAGATGCGTAAAGAGCAAGGCCGATAAGCATCTTGTGACACCTGCCCACCTCAAGCCTCACCACAGGGAAGTTTCACGATTCTGCAGCCACATCGTCTCTGGGTCACCGGGTCTCCACTGTTGCTGCGGTTCAGGCGTCCAAGGGAAAAGCTTTTGCGAGACCGATTCTGCGGCCGGGTCAATGTCAGCGTCAGCACTTGCCTGAAGGCAGTACTTTGTGTGCACAGTGCCTTCGAATACAACAGCCGCTTACCTTCAGTTCTCATTGGTTGTATTGCAACATGTCAACTGCCACGCTATGTGTTCGCAGATCTCACCGACCCTAGTACTGAGGAGTAATATATGCACCCAAAACCGAGATTTAGATCTTGCTAATAAGCGTCGATCTGAACTTCTGTACACCGTTCACGACGGTTTGTGTCGGGGCTTTCTGATTTCAGTGCGACGTGCAGATTGTGATGCGGTCATCAACTTTAGAGCATGCTGCTAGGAGAGTTGTAGCACGTACCGAAGCAATTTCACAAGCCTAAAACAATATTACCTGATAGGATTCCATCCAAGGAAGGTTCTTTGGTCAGGGGTCCAAGATGCGGTTCTGGAAGTCGGTGTTCAAGTCTTAAAACTCCCTCGCTCGTCAAGATGAACGTGCATTTGCTTCCCTTTAAAGACTGTCTATCCGTCGTTACGTCTCTTCTGTCTACCTCCCTCTTTATCACAAAAGACATACTCATGACCATATCCATAATTACAACCATCATAACCCACTCCAAACAATGCACCATCATCAACCAATCATCAAAAACATGACAATATACGGTAGTCGGCGATTACACCCCAATCTAGTGCTCACTGCTCACTGCTCACCCCAATCCACGTGAGCTCAACCTCTTTCGAAACAACTTACCCCACGTTTCGCATGTTTTGTGTTATGTCAGATTACAGATACCATCGCGTGTCGCGCCGAAACGAGAGATTTTCTGTGGGGTCGGAGAAATTAACATAAACGTAAGAAGGGGCTACACCGAGTTCTGTGAGTCTGCGTCAGCGCTACTGGAGGGCGCATATTTGTGTTTTTTGCCAGTGATGACCTGATGTACGTGCTGATGGTTTCTCGAGGACTCGTTGCGCTCAGACTGTCGTGTATGTGAGTTTGTGTTTATGTTGCTAAGATAGATTGCATACCAGCAGCTTAGGATCTGGAAATAGTGCCACTCTTCGATTGCGTCTCCTTGAAGGATTCAGGTCGCCATATGCTCAGTGAAACGGTGATTCCAGATGAGGTAAATTGGGTGAAGCCGTGGTAAGGTATGCATAACTGGGAGCTGAAATGATGGATTATCAAATTTGTCCAGGTGTTCTGCATCCGTGCACAAATCAAAAGATATCGTCTTCCAGGATGCATGTCCATCGTCGTTCTTCCATGCTGCTCATACAATCTCAATGAATTACACATACGCGCGAGCAGAACATGGTGTTAGCGATGGCTTTTCGTACGTGTCATGTGCTCGAACGAAGTAACGTCATCGCCTCCGAGGTATACATGAGTTTCGGAGATAACACCACAAAAACATCCGTTTGCTGACGGTATACGTACGCGTGTGCTTTCGCTCATGCCATTACCTAGTCCATATGTACGTGCTTTGAAGCAGAGTGACGAGGCCATTTGTGGACATCAATCTTCAGTGTTATGGCTGACGTGAAGTTACGCATACTCTTGTTTCTGAAGACAGTCAAGCAGGTTGATGTTAAAGGGGTGACAAGCGTTCGCTGATGTTGTGGCGCTCGTGTATGGTATGCCAAGGCTCAGCGCTCAACGCCGACTCCCAGCCGAACAATGTTTGCTGCTGGCTGTGCGGCAGCAAGAAAACTCTTTTGCATCATCGCCGATGTCAGAGCAATTGGGACCGCTGTATGGTTCGCGCCTCAGACGGGTATCAGAGGCCGAGACGCGACGATTGCGCTCGCCAAGACAGGGTATTTGGTGTTACATTCGGCCTCGCCGGAAAGGATTCAGGTCAATGAAACATTCGAGAAGTGTTCTTAATGCATTGACATGACACACATGCTGTGTAATAGGTCGAAAGACTACATGGATGTCTTCGCTTCAAACAATGATTCTGGACATCCTGTCGTATCAACGCCCGCTGAATGGATAAAACATCCTTGAAATGCAACAAATTTGCCGCTCAGTGGCACCAGAAGTTTCTGGGCCGCGTAACAAGATCTCTGCTATATGAGACCAAATGCCGTCATCAGTGTCGTTATGCCCAAACGCACGGGCTTCGCCGCCAAGGGCTATAGAAAAATTGCAAAGCTGTCTGCAGGCGTGGAAACTTTTCGTCAGAAGGGGCGATATCTGAAAACGCCGCTCTATAGGACAAGTACTAATGCAAAGAAAGTGCTAATGCCGGCTCCGACCGGACTCTGTTGCTGAAGGGTATGTTTCGATGTGTAAAAGCCGCTCGGATTAGATGGGGTTGTTGCTGCGGGTTCAGAAAATCTCCAATATCCAATGGCGCTGTAGGTGGCCCACATCAATTATATCGCGTCTTTCGAAATCATGCTTCGTCATGTGCTTCGTTAATGACACCGGGCTTAGGTGCGAGACTTGAGGGGCCGGAGATAGAGCCCATAGAGCCAACACGCTCCTGTGGTGGCGGTTCGTCTCTCATGCATGCGTTCTCAAGCATGTTCGTCCATTTTCCACTGGTTCCGGCATGACTATGCTTCAAGTGTTGTCTGAAGTGGTCTGCGCGGAAAAACTTCTTGGCTTGGTTGCATTCCCCAAACTTATGCACATGATTCAGATGCTCAGATCGTGCTTCCCAATCCGCAGGATTGGAGAACTCTTCACCGCAATAACCGCAAACGTCTGCCACATTCGGACGAGTAGGGGAGGGATGAAAAGCTGCATGAACACCGGCAAGCGTGGCGCATGACCAAGAATGTCGACGTAAATGAAGAGAATTCTGATGGCGCTCGGCTTCGTTCTTATTCTTGAAACGATTGGGACAGTACTGGCAGATGTACTGCTTCTCTAGCTCGTGTGCTCTGTTGCTGGGGTCAGCGTGGTCGCTCAATGGTGGACAGACCAAATGGCGGTGGACAAGCGAGAATCCATGCACTTACCTCAACTCATCTTCGCTGTCGAATTTTTTGGGCTTCTTGGGACAGCATTCGCAGATGTAAGCTCCTGGTATACGATTTGCGATTGAATTCTGTCGCGAGTGC